AGCCCGCTGGCCCGCCAGCCCGCCCAGTTCACACTGCTAGCCCGCTACACTGCTAGCCCGCCCACTTCACACTGCCAGGTAATGTATCATAACGTTTTTATGTTCAATCAATAAAGTTTTAGATTTTAGCCCGCTGGCCCGCCAGCCCGCCCAGTTCACACTGCTAGCCCGCTACACTGTTAGCCCGCCCACTTCACACTGCCAGGTAATGTATCATAACATTTTTATGTTCATTAATAAAGTTTTAGATTTTAGCCCGCTGGCCCGCCAGCCCGCCCAGTTCACACTGCTAGCCCGCTACACTGCTAGCCCGCCCACTTCACACTGCCAGGTATTGTATCATAACGTTTTTATGTTCAATCAATAAAGTTTTAGATTTTAGCCCGCTGGCCCGCCAGCCCGCCCAGTTCACACTGCTAGCCCGCTACACTGTTAGCCCGCCCACTTCACACTGCCAGGTAATGTATCATAACATTTTTATGTTCATTAATAAAGTTTAAGATTTTAGCCCGCTGGCCCGCCAGCCCGCCCAGTTCACACTGCTAGCCCGCTACACTGCTAGCCCGCCCACTTCACACTGCCAGGTAATGTATCATTACATTTTTATGTTCATTAATAAGTTTTAGATTTTAGCCCGCTGGCCCGCCAGCCCGCCCAGTTCACACTGCTAGCCCGCTACACTGCTAGCCCGCCCACTTCACACTGCCAGGTATTGTATCATAACGTTTTTATGTTCAATCAATAAAGTTTTAGATTTTAGCCCTCTGTCCCGCCAGCCCGCCCAGTTCACACTGCTAGCCCGCTACACTGTTAGCCCGCCCACTTCACACTGCCAGGTAATGTATCATAACATTTTTATGTTCATTAATAAAGTTTAAGATTTTAGCCCGCTGGCCCGCCAGCCCGCCCAGTTCACACTGCTATCCCGCTACACTATTAGCCCGCCCACTTCACACTGCCAGGTAATGTATCATAACATTTTTATGTTCATTAATAAAGTTTTAGATTTTAGCCCGCTGGCCCGCCAGCCCGCCCAGTTCACACTGCTATCCCGCTACACTGCTAGCCCGCCCACTTCACACTGCCAGGTAATGTATTATAACATTTTATGTTCAATCAATAAAGTTTTAGATTTTAGCCCGCTAGCCCGTTGGCCCGCCAGCCCGCCCAGTTCACACTACTAGCCCGCTACACTGTCAGACCGTCCAATTCACACTGCTAGGAAATGTATCATAAGGTTTTAATGTTGAATCAATAAAGTTTTAGATTTTAGCCCGCTGGCCCGCCAGCCCGCCCAGTTCACACTGCTATCCCGCTACACTGTTAGCCCGCCCACTTCACACTGCCAGGTAATGTATCATAACGTTTTTATGTTCAATCAATAAAGTTTTAGATTTTAGCCCGCTGGCCCGCCAGCCCGCCCAGTTCACACTGCTAGCCCGCTACACTGCTAGCCCGCCCACTTCACACTGCCAGGTAATGTATCATAACGTTTTTATGTTCAATCAATAAAGTTTTAGATTTTAGCCCGCTGGCCCGCCAGCCCGCCCAGTTCACACTGCTAGCCCGCTACACTGCTAGCCCGCCCCCTTCACAATGCCAGGTAATGTATCATAACATTTTTATGTTCATAAATAAAGTTTTAGATTTTAGCCCGCTGGCCCGCCAGCCCGCCCAGTTCACACTGCTAGCCCGCTACACTGTTAGCCCGCCCACTTCACACTGCCAGGTAATGTATCATAACGTTTTTATGTTCAATCAATAAAGCTTTAGATTTTAGCCCGCTGGCCCGCCAGCCCGCCTAGTTCACACTGCTAGCCCGCTAGACTGCTAGCCCGCCCAGTTCACACTGTTAATCCGCTAGGCTGCTAGCCCGCCCAGTTCACACTGTTAGCCCGCTAGACTGCTAGCCCGCTCCGTTCATACTGTTAGCCCGCTAGACTGCTAGCCCGTTAGCCCGCGTACTTCACGGACATCTCTATATATACCCCTTTCTCATGTTGATAAATCAGATGAATACTTTTAAAATACCTCTGTATTTGCTAGCCTATGTATCAACATTTTATGTAAAGATACATATTTTAATAGCTATTATTTCACAGGTGCACTCTGTAAGATAAAATTCTGGAAATATTTGTTGTTGTTTTTTTTTTACTATTATATCGTTTGTACTTTTATTTCTTCTACAAGGATTCTTTCTAAACTTAACAACAGAACAATATATGAGCCGCGTCACGACAAAACCAACATAGTGGGTTTGCGACCATCATGGATCCAGACCAGCCTGCACATCCGCGCAGTCTGTCAGGATCCATGCTGTTCGCTATCAGTTTCTCTTTTGTAATAGGGTTTGTAAGCGAACAGCATGGATCCTGATCAGACTGTGCGGATGCGCAGGCTGGTCTGGATCCATGCTGGTTGCAAACCCACTATGTTGGTTTTGTCGTGACGCGGCTCAATTATATTGACACAATACGGCTTTATCCCTCCATACAAGTTGATTCACCCATAGAAAACCACACCTTTATGATGCACTTTTGTCTGAAATACAGCATTGCTTTAAATGCATGGTTCCCGGCGAAGAGCTTCTATATGTTAGGAACCGTCTGGTGTTCATCTATTATTTACGATATACTGCCGTGATGAAAGTGTGTTACTCTGGCACCATTAATATAAGTTACAAACAGCGGAAAATAAAATTTTCTAGATGACGGTCTGATGCTTCATTGCTGTTTACAGATCTCATTTTACGTTTGCTGTGTTTAAGTGTTAAATACAGAGTTCAGTTAATCAGATTTTGATGCAATGTTTCAATAGCTATGATAGAGTTCATTTGTTCCTTTAACTATGAATATATGTCCCGTGTGTTGTCAAGGATAATAACGTTTCTATTATAGCTACCGTCTTTCAAAACTGCAATTCATATGAAGCAGTTGCTGTACAATGGTGGAATAGTAACAAGATCAACCGATTTGATAGATTGTTATTTAATTGTTGCTATGCTACCGTAGCTATGATACAGTTAAAATGCTATTGTTGTTTGGATACCGTAGTTGCAGTTGCTATGATACCGTTACTAGGTACCGTGACAATGATTATACAAATGTAGTTGCTAGGATACTGTAGCTACTGTTGCTATGATACCGTATCTATGGTGCAGTTACAATGATATAGTTGCTATGATATCGTAGTTACAGTTGCTATGATACCGTTACTATGGTATCGTGACAATGATATACAAATGTAGTTTCTCGTATACCACATCTACTGTTGCTATGATACCGTATCTATGGTACAGTTACAATGATATTGTTGCTATGATACCGTAGTTAAAGTTGGTATGATACCGTTACTATGCTACCGTTGCAATGATATACAAATGAAGTTGTTCGGATACGCAGCTACTGTTGCTATGATACCGTATCTATGGTACAGTTACAATGATATAGTTGCTATGATACCGCAGCTACTGTTGCTATGATACCGTATCTATGGTACAGTTACAATAATATAATTGCTATGATGTCGTAGCTTCAGTTGCTATGATACCGTTACTATGGTACCGTGACAATGATATACAAATGTAGTTGTTCGGATACCGCAGCTACTGTTGCTATGATACCGTATCTATGGTACCGTTACAATGATATTGTTGCTTGGATACCGTAGTTACAGTTGCTATGATACCGTTAGTATGGTACCGTGACAATGATATACAAATGTAGTTGCTCGGATACCGTAGCTACTGTTGCTATGATACCGTATCTATGGTACCGTTACAATGATATTGTTGCTTGGATACCGTAGTTACAGTTGCTATGATACCGTTAGTATAGTACCGTGAAAATGATATACAAATGTAGTTGTTCGGATACCGCAGCTACTGTTGCTATGATACCGTATCAATGGTACCGTTACAATGATATTGTTGCTTGGATACCGTAGTTACAGTTGCTATGATACCGTTAGTATGGTACCGTGACAATGATATACAAATGTAGTTGTTCGGATACCGCAGCTACTGTTGCTATGATACCGTATCTATGGTACCGTTACGATGATATTGTTGCTTGGATACCGTAGTTACAGTTGCTATGATACCGTTAGTATGGTACCGTGGCAATGATATACAAATGTAGTTGCTTGGATACCGTAGTTACAGTTGCTATGATACCGTTAGTATGGTACCGTGACAATGATATACAAATGTAGTTGTTCGGATACCGCAGCTACTGTTGCTATGATACCGTATCTATGGTACCGTTACAATGATATTGTTGCTTGGATACCGTAGTTACAGTTGCTATGATACCGTTAGTTTAGTACCGTGAAAATGATATACAAATGTAGTTGTTCGGATACCGCAGCTACTGTTGCTATGATACCGTATCTATGGTACCGTTACAATGATATTGTTGCTTGGATACCGTAGTTACAGTTGCTATGATACCGTTAGTATAGTACCGTGACAATGATATACAAATGTAGTTGTTCGGATACCGCAGCTACTGTTGCTATGATACCGTATCTATGGTACCGTTACAATGATATTGTTGCTTGGATACCGTAGTTACAGTTGCTATGATACCGTTAGTATGGTACCGTGACAATGATATACAAATGTAGTTGCTTGGATACCGTAGTTACAGTTGCTATGATACCGTTAGTATGGTACCGTGACAATGATATACAAATGTAGTTGTTCGGATACCGCAGCTACTGTTGCTATGATACCGTATCTATGGTACAGTTACAATGATATAGTTGCTAGGATACCGTAGTTACAGTTGCTATGATACCGTTACTATGGTACCGTGACAATGATTAACAAATGTAGTTGATCGGATATCACAGCTACTGTTGCTATGATACCGTATCTATGATACAATTACAATGATATAGTTGCTATGATACCGTGGCTATAGTACAGTTACCATTATATAGTTACTCTGATACAATTACCATGGTACTGTTGCTATGATAAAGTTGCTTTGTTTCAGGTGTTTGTTCAGGATAATGACGTATATTATAGACGTAATATATATGGCGAAGAAGGTGAATTCCGTGTAACAACCACTGGCAAACCGGATGAAATTTTTAATGGTGTTCCAGACTGGGTATTTGAGGGTAAATATCAATAAAACTGTGATTTCTTCAAAACAATTAATGCGTTAAATGTAAAGGACAAAAAAAATAAAATTTATAAACGGAAAAATCTGTAAAGGATAATGAAAACGTACTCGGAATTAAATTGAATATCGATTTTTTTGTGCGATTCTTAGCCCAATTTGGGTGAAAAGCGTTGCAACGCTTTCATCTTCAGGTCAGTTTGCACAATTTAATGATTATTGCGCAAAACGGGATGAGGGAATGATCTGAAAATCTTCACACAAGTTATTAGTCAATTACAAATGGTTCACAATTCCCGGAAAAACTATTTCCAGTCCTATCGTCTCAAAAATCTTCAGTGGAGTCCCTTTAAAAACCGTTTTTGTTTTTGTTTTTTCACTTCACATATCTTTTTTTTTTTGTCCTTTAATAAGATCAAAATCAAGTAGCATTGGTTTGTATATTCAGAAGGGTTATGTATACCATGTATACAAAACACTATTATTATTACAGATAAAGCGCTTACTTTTGTAAATGCTTCAAAATTAAGTAATGAACAATGGGGGTTGAATGTTCTTTTCTATATATGACATAACTTTTCTTTCTATTTCAGAGGAAATTTTATTCACAGACAATGCAATTTGGTGGTCACCTTCGGGTCATTATTTTGCTTTTGCTTCATTTAATGACTCAGAAATAGGCCTGTTTGATCTTACATATTACGGCGATTTAAAGAACCAGTATGTTGAAAATAAGAAATTATTATATCCTAAGGTAAGTAAAATTTACGAGATTTTATCTTCGTCTCCGTTCATATATTCCTGCTTGCGCAGATTTTATGCAAGAATAATATTTACATTACTGAGCATGACAAGATATAGATGTTTTTGCAGTACAATTATCCAGACAATGTTCTGTAAAATCATTTATATTGGATCGTGGTTTCCATAGATAGGTCTACCTACAAATTAAGATCTAGTTTTATTTCGTTGGCTGTAAGATTAAGATTGATTTTGAATTATACTCGTATAATTTGCATCTTACTATTTTGCAAGAACAGAAGTCAACGAATGAAGAAAAAACACAAAAAAGTTCCAAATTTTATGCCCACGAAATTATGTGAATTCACAGTATACAATACTTGGGTAAAATTTCGTGCTCATCTTTTCAGGCTGGCACAACAAACCCAACATTTTCGTTACATATATTCAACACACATACTAACGCAACTATAAATATAGATGCGCCCGAAGCTCTCCGAGATATGTAAGTATCCCTTTGAAACCTGAAATTGAAATCTTTAATTTCAACTTTAATATTTTTATTATAGTATGTACAGTTGATCATGTGTTTCCAATAGGTGTAGAGTTTACAGTACATTTTACATATTTTCATTGTTCTGTTCTTTGTCAGTAAATTGTATGTTGTATTGTTCCATTTGAAGTCAAGGTTACAGTACATTGTACATGTTTTCGTAGTTTTGTGTACAGATCTTGTAAATATCGGCAATCTGCCCACTGTGAAATCATTGGACAAGTCATGAATGGACATGACATAAATGTTATTAATGACGTCATCGCCGAATGTCTTAAATAGCATTTTATTCTATCTCCACTGCCTGAATAACATCTAACAATACATTTCTCTAGAACTTAGAGCTCTTATTCATTGAGAGATGTAATTCTGACCAATCAAAATTCTTTCATATGTCACGTGACTGATTCTGTCTAAAACGAATTAGAATGATGTTAACAAATATTACAAGAATAACACACTTGTTCTGTTTCCAAAAAAAACCACCAAAAATCAACAAAACACGCAAACATCCAAAACCATGGTAACAAATTAATCAAAAGGAAAAAACACATTTTCGAATTTCAGCATATGTCGTAAAACAATATGCTGTTGTTTAGATAGCCCAGAAATAAACAAGTTATAAAATTGTATATCTTTGAGAGCGATTTTCTCAACATTTAGAAAATGATAGCTGCAGTCTCGTGCCAATAACAATACGCTTCTGCAAATATATGTTTGAATTTATTTTATTTTCAGCGATCATTATTTCACGAGAGTCACGTGGCAGAATGATGAGCACGTTCAGATAATATGGTTAAATAGACCACAAAATATGTCAATAATAACTATATGCAGTGCTCGATATGGATCCTGTATTGAGGTAAGCCCGAGTCCAATCTGACCAAAGCTCGGATCTACTTATTTCTTCCTTGTAGATCTGATGACCACCGTGTACGTTTCGCCTTCTTTAAATAATTCAGATTTTCGGAGAAAGCTATTTTTACATTTTTAGCCATGCAATCAAACCGGTTTTTACAGATATTCCATCAAAATACCGTTATTCGTGGAAGTTAAACAAATTGTTGATTTTTGTTAGAAAAAGAATTGAATTAAGTTTTAACAAATTAATTTGAAATTATAGAGTCATTTTAATGGACACTATTGCTTTGCTAGATTCATTTCTATGAAAAAAAGAAAATGTATTAAAAAGTAAAATACTATGCAACGAAAAAAGACAATAATCTACGCGTTGTGAACTGCACTAACAATCCGTGTAAATTACCAAAAACATGTCAAAATATGCAAAAATATCTCTTACTGCGTAAGTCAAGCAGTTGAAATACCATGATAATTTCTTCAGCATCAGCAACGTGTAAATTATTACTTGAATCTTGAACCTTCTCTCTGTTCTTAAAATCTTAGTACTCACTAATCAGACCATCCTGCAATTAAGACCATTTTAGAGCCGTCCCTTGCTTGATCTTAATGGGGGGGGGTTACAGTACATGTTTTCCCATGTTTGATTTGTTAAAATAATTTTACCTCATATGATGCAGGCACGCAGCATAAAATTACTAAAAACATATAAAACATAGTCTATAACAAACTTTTTATTTATTTCAGAATTTCAGATTTACAGCACCGTCAGGAGGCTGGGTTGATTTGGTATGAATCTTGAACATTATTATTCTCGAATAAATTAAATTATCTAATATTGTACTAGATCATACTTTATTTATGAGTGTATTTGTTTGATAAGAGTTGATAACAAATATATCTGTAACATAATTTACTTGCAAACCTTCAATTACCAAATTTTTATAAATATCTCAGTTTAATGTATCCAATACATCATGTAATAATACCACTACTGTTTTGACATACATGTTGTTTTTGTTTTGTTTTGTTTTGTTTTCGGCTGTTTTCGTATCTACATGTACACAGCTTTATTATTTTGTTCAGTCTCCTCAACTTTATCATCTCTTAATTGAACACCACTGTGGTCTAAAAGTCTAAAAACATAAAATTAAGTTCTATGCTAACTAAGCTTGGGCTTTTAGCAAAGGAAAAAAAATGTGCAAGAAATATACACAAAATTGGTTTGAATATCGAATTTATGTGCCATTTTTGGTCGGCTTTTCATTTTTATTTATTTTCTTTTATTTTATTTTAAAATTATGCACACAAGTTGTGTCCCTGACCTACTGATCTAAAAAAAAAAGCATTTTCAAATCCTGCCATGTGAAAAATCGGTCGATTCCCTTTAACGTATTCAAATACATAATCCGGATATAAAGTACAAATGTTAAGTAGGTCTGTTTTAGTCTGACTTCGGCCGACGAGGGGTCACATAGCAATAAACATTATTAATGAAATGGAAACGTGGCCTTGAATTTCGGGTTTAAATAGGATCCGTATTAAATCGGGACAAGTCACGAGATAAAGGATAATACAGTGGCTACATATTTTAACTGTATACATTCAATATAGCAAATATAGGATATATTTTGCGTTCTTGCTGGGTTATTTCTATTGTTGTTGTTGTTGCTTTTGTATGCCCCACAACTTTAACATTATAATTTATTGTTTAACAGTACGCATATCCAACATTTACGGCTGACGGAGGTCATTATTTCCTGATATTACCACAGCGTGAGGGAGATGCTGGTTATTACAGGCACATAGTAAAGATAGACGCTTCTGTAACCGTTAATGTAAGCCAAAAAATTCTAGTTATTACTTGAAAATATAGCTTTATGCTCGACTACGAAAAATACACTTTATTAAAAGTATATAAGTTTAAGCCAGTTTTCTCGTCAAAAATCCTATTATTTTTCTTTTTATTAGCTCACCTGACCACGAAGGTATAGTGATGGGGCTATGTCCGGCGTCCGTCGACGTGCGTCGTGCGTTGTGAGTCGTTCGTCGTCAACAATTGGGTTGTTAACAGTCTAGCAGTCACAGTTTTGATTGGATCATCATCAAACTTTGTCAGAATGTTTGTCTCAATGAAATACAGATCGAGTTCGAAGATGGGTTATCTCGGGTCAAAAACTAGGTCACAGGAGCTAAAAATAGAAAAGCTTGTTAACACTCTAGAGGCTGCAGTTTTCATACAAATATTCTGGAAATTTGTCAGGAAGGTTGTTTTAATGATACCTAGGTCAAGTTCAAAGATGGGTCATCTCCGATCAAAACCTAGGTCACAGGAGCTAAAAATAGAAAAAGCTTGTTAACACTCTAACAATTGGGTTGTTAACAGTCTAGCAGTCACAGTTTTGATTGGATCATCATCAAACTTTGTCAGAATGTTTGTCTCAATAAAATACAGATCGAGTTCGAAGATGGGTTATCTCGGGTCAAAAACTAGGTCAGAGGAGCTAAAAATAGAAAAAGCTTGTTAACACTCTAGTGGCTGCAGTTTTCATCCAAATATTCTGGAAATTTGTCAGGAAGGTTGTTTTGATGATTTCTAGGTCAAGTTCGAAGATGGGTTATCTCAGGTCAAAAACTAGGTCACAGGAGCTAAAAATAGAAAAAGCTTGTAAACACTCTAGTGGCTGCAGTATTGATTCAAATATTCTGGAAATTTGTCAGGAAGGTTGTTTTGATGATTTCTGGGTCAAGTTCGAAGATGGGTCATCTCAGGTCAAAAACTAGGTCACAGGAGCTAAAAATAGAAAAAGCTTGTTAACACTCTAGTGGCTGCAGTTTTGATTCAAATATTCTGGAAATTTGTCAGGAAGGTTGTTTCGATGATTTCTGGGTCAAGTGCTAAGATTGGTCATGTCCGGTCAAAAACTAGGTCAGAGGAGCTAAAAATAGAAAAAGTTTGTTAACACTCTAGTGGCTGCAGTTTTCATCCAAATATCCTGGAAATTTGTCAGGAAGGTTGTTTTGATGATTTCTAGGTCAAGTTCGAAGATGGGTTATCTCAGGTCAAAAACTAGGTCACAGGAGCTAAAAATAGAAAAAGCTTGTAAACACTCTAGTGGTTGCAGTATTGATTCAAATATTCTGGACATTTGTCAGGAAGGTTGTTTTGATGATTTCTGGGTCAAGTTCGAAGATGGGTCATCTCAGGTCAAAAACTAGGTCACAGGAGCTAAAAATAGAAAAAGCTTGTTAACACTCTAGTGGCTGCAGTTTTGATTAAAATATTCTGGAAATTTGTCAGGAAGGTTGTTTCGATGATTTCTGGGTCAAGTGCTAAGATTGGTCATGTCCGGTCAAAAACTAGGTCACAGGAGCTAAAAATAGAAAAATCTTTTTAACACTCTAGTGGCTGCAGTTTTGATCCAAATTTCCTGGAAATTGGTCAGGAAGGTTGTTTTGATGATTTCTAGGTCAAGTTTGAATATGGGTCGTGTCCGGTCAAAAATAAGGTCACATTGCCCAAATATGGAAAAATCTTTATAACACACTAGAGGTCACATGTTTGACTCAGTTGTCATCAAACTTGGCCATGATGCTTGTTTAAGACATTGCTTGGATGCGGTTGTGTCAGGTGAGCGATCCAGGGCCATCATGGTCCTCTTGTCTATTTTTAGCTCCTGTGACCTAGTTTTTGACTCGAGATAACCCATCTTCAAACTCGATCTGTATTTCATTGAGACAAACATTCTGACAAAGTTTGACAATGATCCAATCAAAACTGTGACTGCTAGACTGTTAACAACCCAATTGTTGATGACGAACAACGCACTACGCACGACGCCGGACGCCGGACATAGCCCCATCACTATACCTCACCTTGACCACTTTTAGGTCAGGTGAGCTAAAAAGAGGGTGGTTTCGGAAATCCGGTCAAATTTGTTATTTATCATTGTTCTATCTTCAATAATAATTTTGAACATATGTGCCAAAAACCTTAAGTGGATTTCACATCTTGTGTCAGAAATACATTTATTTTAAGTTATGATACTACCTAAATTTCACTCATTTTACTTTAAACCTTTAAAAAGTTTATTTTAAACTGCATATAATATGTCTTTATTGTTTTAAATATTTTATTTTCTTTTGAAAAAGAGAAATTTATAATCTGACAAGACAAAACAAAAGAAAACTGTATCATAAATCATCAATGGAAAAAAGTCCCCCTCTCCAACCCTGGTTTAATTTTGTAAAAAAAATAATTGTGTGCATATATACATACATTTTACTTGTGTGCATATATACATAGATCAACAAAAATAAAACAATATCGTATACCATTAATTTTACTGCTAGTGATCTTGAAAGCTGGTTGATCTGATGTGCTCAATATGAGCCTTCTGTATATCCTTGAATGCATCAAATGTCATTTCTTGGTTCTACACCATTTTATACAGCTTTATATTTTTACTTGTACTTACACATAGTGTCCTGGTTTCAGTACACCAAAATACAGCTCGAGGATGCTCTACGTTCTCCAGTATAGTTGTCCTGTCTTTACAGTCACCACTTACTCTATATATACAATTAGTCCAGTAATCACTCACAAAGAGGGACCCGTCATCTAACAGCGAAATACCCCTTGGAGCTTTAATGTCTACCCTCCTTCCTATCATCTCTCCCTGCCAATTAAACCATTTAACATCTTTATTTTTGCCGCTATCAGTTACATAGATTGAATGGCTGTTTGTGGTGACATACCAAGGGTCATGGAAAATACTTTCACCATTGGAATCTTTCGCAACTGTAATTTTTATATTACCTTTCAAGTCCATGATTTGGAGTTTAGCAGAATGTGTACTAAATGCAACTGCAAGTTTCCCCTGATGATGGCTTATTCCTCGGCATTCTCCATCTACTTTCAGTTTTCTTTTCAATGAGAGAGAGTTTGAGGAGAAGAAAATTAACTTTATTGCGTTAATGTTTAGTAATGTAACAGCAAGTGTATCTCTGGTCACCATGGTGATATCCCAGGGATGTGATTCAAGCTGTAGCTGTTTGATTTCTTCACTTTTTATGTCTATCATTTTAATTGAGCAATTACCGTTATCTGCTACAAATAATTGGTTATGAGGAGAGGCAGTTATACCAGTTATATCGCTATTAATTTCATCTGATGATGTTTTAACATTTATGTTCATAAGGGTAAACATTTTCATTTGTACTGCAGCTTTATTTATTGGTGGAGCTGGTTGCTTTAGTTCCTTTTTAATCAATGTTCCAAATGATTTCTCATTCTGAAGGAGTTTTTTGATTGCATGATTTGATTCAAAAGTATATTCATCAACATTATTGGTTGTTGGTAGTTGTTTTGCTACATTTTCATTGTGTAATATCAGTTGCTGAGCTATTTTCAATTCAGTAAACAGTTGGTCGGTTTTCCTGTTGGTGTTGAGATGTTTTAGAGTATCAGCTGATGCTTGGAGTGATTTGTTGATGTCATCACATGCTGTTTCTGTTGTATTCAACTTGTTGTTGTTGTCATGTTGAATTGTTGTAGCAGCATCCTTAACCTCCTTTTCTAGTTCATCTAATCTCTTGTTTATCTCTGTCCTGAAGTTTTCTATTTCTACTATAGTATCTTTCAGAGAAGTTGTTGATTTAGCAACTCTTTGTTTCATATCTTTTGTGATCTGGCAACATTTGTCTGTAAATTTGTCAATATCTTTTAGAGTTTCTTTGAACTCCATACTGTTTAAAATCTGTCCTGATATATCAGGTATGAAGTCCACATTGCAGGATGTTGTTGGGTGTTCAAGGGTCACACAAAGGCTGCATATAAGTGTATTATGGTCATGACAGTAGAACTTGGTCACTTCTTTGGTATGTTTGGTACAAGGCTTGGATAAATCACCATTTGTTTTACCCGAAGTAGATTTTATTGACTTACTGAGGTTTTGTTTATGTGGCATGTGATCTTTATCTAGAAGTTGGTGATGGCGTAGTGGTCTTGGTTTTCTGTGAATGTTAAAGCAAGTTTGACATAAATGTTCCTCACAATCCACACAGTAACCAAAGGCAGGTAGTCTGATGTCATCTTGGTCACATATTTCACAGAAAATGTCAAAATCTTCAGCACCACCTCGAGATAGTGTAGATGACAGTTCCTGAGATGCCTTTTTACCAGGCACAGCCATAATGTAACCTAGAATAGAAAATAGTAGATTCTAGAAGTGTTTGGCAGTGGCCTTATGTTCTTAACAAATACAGAAACTTGAAAGAAAATAACGTTCTGTCTAATTCTTGCTGTAAATTCATTTTATTTTGTGGACATAAAAATGTGTGTTATTTTTTTAATTGAACAAAATGACTGTTCTAACATTTTTTTTAAGGTCATCATTGTGCTTTTACTTTGTGAAAAGGTTTTTAAACTGAGGATACCAATTCCCTTGAAAGAAATGTTATACCATACCGGTAACCTGCTGAATTTCTCAAATGGACTTGTCTAGCTTCCATTTATCAATATTGGGGGTATCAAGATTTTAAAAGGTCAGTTTTAGCCCAGTAGCAAAAGCTGATTGTTTCAGCTCGACCATTTTAAGGGCTTCTGTGACTTTTAAAGGGTAGCCACATTGCTGTATACACACCAAACCCAACAAAATAAAACAATAATCAAGTTTCAGTTGTTGGTGGGGCACAGAAAATGTGTCTAAATGTTATTCATGTTAAATCATTCTAGAATAATATATAAATGTACATAGTAAACTTTATTAACATTTAAACATAAATATTGAGTAAATGTACTTACCAATGATTAATACTTCTCATTAGGATATTGAAAACGAATGTTTTCTTAAGTTCCTGATCTTACAAGTCAATTCCCGTATCTTCAATGATTTGTTTTGCCTATCAATGGTTTGTATTTTAAAACTAGTAAAAGTCGATTTATGAAATATCATGTATCATATTACACCCGCAATAGAAATTCAATACATTACATTTAAAGCAGTAGTTTAAGGCTTCTATCTTTTCAACCTTTTTTACTTGGTATTCGGGTTTTATCAATTGATTATTTAAACAAATGAATAAAAAAATGCCTGCTTGTAAGAAATTCAATAGATAAACCCAGTGATATATCTGGTTTATAACATTATTTATGTAGCTCTTGGTTGGTTTATAAAACCATTTCTATAGAGTGAAAATATATCACAATATGTTTGTATAGTATAAATGGGACAATTTTAAATGACATTTAAAAAGACTGTTTATCTTGATTTTTTTATGTTTGGCTGTTTTGGCTATTATCCAATAAGTTAGATGCATAAAAAAAATAAGGTAAACGATTTAAACAGCTTAAAAGGAGCGACCTATTAGCAACTGTGTCTGTTTAAACATTTTATTGTTTTCTTATTAACGCCTCATTAAGTACATTCCATTGGTATGTGTAGTGAGATTTATCAAGATAGACTTGACTTTTATTTAACAGAATCTCCATTCAGTTCCTGATCGTGAAACTCCCCTTTTTAGCTCACCTGTCACAAAGTGACAGGGTGAGCTTTTGTGATCGCTTTTTGTCCGGCGTCCGTCCGTCGTCCGTCCGTCCGTAAACTTTTACTTTAAATGACATCTTCTCATAAACCACCAAGCTAATTTCATTCAAACTTCACAGGAATGTTCCTTTGGTGGTCACCTTTGAAAATTGTTCAAAGAATTTAATTCCATGCAGAACTCTGGTTGCCATGGCAACCGAAAGAAAAAACTTTAAATATCTTCTTTTAAAAAACTCAAAGAGCTAGAGCTTAGATATTTGGCATGAAACATCTACCAAATTTGTTCAAATAAAAGCCCTGGGGTCAAAATTGGCCCCGCCCCAGGGGGTCTTTGATTTTCCCTATATGCATATAGTAAAAACTTAAAAAATCTTCTTTTAAAGAACCCAAAGAGCTAGAGCTAAGATATTTAGCATGAAACATGTACTAATGGGTGTCTACCAACTTTGTTCAAATAAAAGCCCTGGGGTCAAAATTGGCCCCGCCCCAGGGGGTCTTTGATTTTCCCTATATGCATATAGTAAAAACTTAAAAAATCTTCTTTTAAAGAACCCAAAGAGCTAAAGCTAAGATATTTAGCATAAAACATGTTCTAATGGGTGTCTACCAAGTTTGTTCAAATAAAAACCCTGGGGTCAAAATTGGCCCCGTCCCAGGAGGTCATTGATTTTCCCTATATGCATAAAGTAAAAACTTAAAAAACTTCTTTTAAAGAACCCAAAGAGCTAGAGCTAAGATTTTTAGCATGAAACATCTTCTAATGAGTGTCTACCAAGTTTGTTCAAATAAAAGCCCTGGGGTCAAAAAATTGGCTCCGTCCCAGGGGTCATTGATTTTCCCTATATGCATATAGTAAAATCTTAAAAAATCTTCTTTTAAAGAACCCAAAGAGCTAAAGCTAAGATATTTAGCATGAAACATGTTCTAATGGGTGTCTACCAAGTTTGTTCAAATAAAAGCCCTGGGGTCAAAATTGGCCCCGCCCCAGGGGGTCATTAATTTTCCCTATATGCATATAGTAAAAACTTAAAAAATCTTCTTTTAAAGAACCCAAAGAGCTAGAGCTAAGATTTTTTGCATGAAACATGTTCTAATGGGTGTCTACCAAGTTTGTTCAAATTAAAGCCCTGGGGTCAAAATTGGCCCCGCCCCAGGGGGTCATTGATTTTCCCTATATGCATATAGTAAAAACTAAAAAAATCTTCTTTTAAAGAACCCAAAGAGCTAGAGCTAAGATTTTTTGCGTGAAACATCTTCTAATGAGTGTCTACCAAGTTTGTTCAAATAAAAGCCCTGGGGTCAAAATTGGCCCCGTCCCAGGGGGTCATGATTTTCCCTATATGCATATAGTAAAAACTTAAAAATCTTCTATTAAAGAACCCAAAGAGCTAGAGCTAAGATATTTAGCATGAAATATGTTCTAATGGGTGTCTACCAAGTTTGTCCAAATAAAAGCTCTTGGGTCAAAATTGGCCCGGCCCCAAGGGGTCATTGATTTTCCTTATATGTATATAGCTAAAACTTCAAAAATCTTCTTTGAAAAAAAACCAAATAGCATAGTTCAGATATTAAGCATGACATATCTTCTAGTAAGTGTCTACAAAGTTTGTTCAGATAAAAACCCTTGGGTCAAAACTGGCCCCACCCCAGGGGTGTCATTGTTTTTAACTATAAGTGTACAGTAAAAACTTAAAAATCTTCTTTTAAAAAACCCAATGAGCTAGAGCTTAGATGTTTAGCATGAAACATTTTCTTATGGGTGTCTACCCAGTTTGTTCAAATAAAAGCCCTGGGGTTAAAATTGGCCCTGCCATCGGGGGGGGGGGTGAGGAAAGGGGGGAGAAAATCATTATTTTTCATTGTATGTGTGTAGTAAAAACTTAACATCATGAAACATCTTCTAATGGGTGTCTTCCAAGTTTGTTCAAATAAAAGCCCTGGGGTTTAAACTGGCCCCGCTCTGGGGGGCCATTATACAGGTGAGCGACCTCAGGGCCATCATGGCCCTCTTGTCTAACAAAAAGTTGCTGATAATGATAATTTGCGAATAACAGCTGTTTTTGAAATTTCATCATTATTTCATACATTTGAAAAATTATACACAAGTTTAGGCATGGCCGAGTGGTTAACGTGGTACTGTTATAATACTGGTTATTATAATTATTATTATTATCATCATCATCATCATCATTATTATTATTATTATTATTATTATCATTTTTAATATTATCAATATCATTATTATCATATGTATTATTATTTATTTTATTTTTTTTTTGCAGATTGCAGCAGGTACTTATGGTAGAACAACTGTCATAACAACCGGTTTGTTTGACGTCATATCGATAAGTAGATACGATGAAACTGCAAAGCAAATGTAAGTAATAAAATATTTGTTATATTACGTCAATTAAAGTGGATTGGTCTGCAATGGATACATTTTTCACAAATATTTAAAATATCGACAAATACAATAGAAATGTATTATTTGCATATTGATATAATATATTTCTTGGAAAGAAAATCAGATATTTATGAAAGCGGTAGAAATGTATTATGTTCATATTTTTATGAAATATTTCTTGGAAAAAAAATGTTGATTTGGTACTAAGTGTTTATATTATGTGTTATAATTGACACTTACCAACATTCCCTTTAAGGGCGATCTACTACCATATTTATTTCATGCACTCATTTTTTGAAGTATTATTTTTTTTAAAATTCAAACAATAATTTTTGCAACAGATATATAGTTTTTTTACACTTTAACTACAATACATTTTTCCACTATGATATTTTAAAAAAGCTCAACTGAGGTTAAAACACCTAAAAGAAAAGAAAAAACAACAACAACAATAACAACAACAAAAACAACAATTTTTTTTCTTCAAAATTCTTACATAGATCAAGTGCAGCACTTGAATTACGAATTAGCGATTTTTGTGCGATTCTAAGCCCAATTTGAGAGTAAAACGTTGCAATTATTGTCTTTTTTGTGTTCATTTTGCACAAAAGAAATTATTATTCTGCTTCTGCAAAAATGAGATGAGGAAATTGTCTGAAAATTTGCACACAAGTCTTACGTTCAGACATATATCAAATGGTACACAAATATCTCGGAAAGAAATTTTTAATCCTTTTCTTAATCTTATATAAACGAACCCATTTATGTTATACCTGAGGCAAACGTATGTTGGGTACATTTCAATTTCATGAATTCCCGATTTTATCTTCGTCAGTTTACAAGTGTAACTTCGTGAATTCACGTTTAAAACATACGGAATTCACAAATGCACGATTTCAGCTTCATAAATTAACGATTGTAACTTCACGACTTCACTTTTTCAAATTCATGAATTTACAAGTTTGACTTCATGAATTCACGATTTCAACTTCACGAATTCAACTTCGTGAATTCACGATTTTAACTTCGTGAATTCACGATTTTAACTTCGTGAATTCACGATTTCAAATTCATGAATTCACGATTTCAACTTCACGAATTCACGATTTCAACTTCATGAATTCACGATTTCAACTTCACGAATTCACGATTTCAACTTCATTCAAGTGATATGAATTAATGCTGAGTCATGAAATTTCACTTGAATTTAACTTGGAAAACATAAGGTGAAATGTGCACACATACGATTGATTGAACAATTTTGGAATATATGCCAGTGCACGCTATCTTTGTAATCTGTATGCACATTCTTTCATTCTAGCATAGGGTAATCAAAATGTTTCAAAGATTTTATTGTAGACTTGAAACAAAACGTTTATCTCTTGTTATTTCAGATATTATCTAGCATACAAAACAGGTGATCCCACATCTAGACATCTTTTCAGGTAAATTAAATGTGCCACGTCACGACAAAACCAACGTAATGCGTTTGCGACCAACATGGATCCAGACCAGCCTGCGCATCCGCGCAGTCTGATCAGGATCCATGCTGTTCGCTTACAAACCCTATTACAAGTAGAGAAACTGATAGCGAACGTCATGGATCCTGATCAGACTGCGCGGATGCGCAGGCTGGTCTTGATCCATGCTGGTCGCAAACCCATTATGTTGGTTTTGTCATGACACGGCTCAAATGTAGAAATTAGGCTTATAACTATCGTGTATAGATAATCTGATAGATATATACATAGGCTGCTAAAGGGAGAATATTAGCGCAACAATTCCGAAAATTCAAGAAAATTGTATGAAAAATAAACGATTGAAGTTTTAAGTATCGAGATTAATCATAAAGATCTATAAATGTTACGTTATTTCAGCGTAAAAACGTTTATGATTATGATAATGTATGCTCTTATTTTACTATGTTATTCAAATAACTTCACCCCTTTTACTAGATTTTTACACTTCACAACAGCAGGTGTGGCAGCTGTAAAAATATGCTCCGTACTTTACTTCATTGTTCTTATATTTCTCTGGCCAATCAGAATCATAGGTTTCGGCACATTACTTGAATTTTGAATCATTTTACATTTCTTCAAATCTTTGTACATTTTTCTCAAGTTTGATTTTCTTGAACTACTTTTGCTAATCTGGAGGAATGCGGCTTTAAAGAAAAGGAATACAAGAAATTTCCATAATCTATTGTTTCGTAAACAAATATGATCCCGTGTAAAAATAGAGTATTTGAAATTAAAAAAAAATTCTATTGTCTATGATTTACCTTTATCATGCTTTTATTAAATGGACCTTCCCATTTTTCAATCTGGACAAATCTATTCATCGCTTTTAGGGGAAATTTTGAAAAGATTTACTGACAGAAAAGGGAAAAGTGCACATCATGATTAGACACTTGCGTAATGGCTGACCCTGGCCTGATTCTGACTGCATTGGTAGAAATAATTGCTGCTAATTCTTGCCAATTCTTCAATAAATGCTCTGTAAACTTTCGCTGCTGAACAATTGTAAACGCTTAATTGAAATACATCTAGCAAATTTTTTTATCTGTCTTACATTCTCTAGAACTAGCACAGAACCCGGATCTGATTTTCAAAAACCAGTCTGTATCACGTGCTCAATCTCCAAAGACTGTGATTGGATAAGCGCGAGTTTCCCGGATGTAGGGGATAGGTTTATGCTGCAGTGCCTTGGTCCAGGTATACCAACGTATACACTGAGATCCTTGACTTCCAATACAGGTAATTCCTTTTTCAAAATAATGTCCGGGTCGAATTGGTACAAATGTTTTGGAAGATGATAAAAAAAGTCAGGATCCTGTTTGCGTTAAAGTATTTATAACTTCTTTTGACAAGTTACTGTTTTTCAACAATGTTGGACTTTTAGAGTAATAGTATAACATGTGATAATTGAAATAATTTGATAATAGGCCCCGATGCACACACGAATTTTACACATGAAAGTATTACGGTCTAAAAGATCCCAGTATATAAATAAAATGTAAATTTACAATTGAATGAAATGAATAGTTTACATGTTAAATGATATGAAAATTTAGATGTGATTGTGTTGAAACATCCAAGTATTGTATTTTCCGGCATGTTCCAATAAAACCGCAATGGTTAGTTAGTACAAGGCAACGATCAAACAACGTTTATATTCATTTTACGTCAGTTGTTTTGGCATGATTCTGGGAATCTACATATTTACAGTACAACTTCTGTAGAGCAACCACCTCTTTACAATAACAAAATTATTTATTCCTAAAGAAATACCTCAAATTAAATTAAAACTTTGTAGAATAAGCTTTTGCGTATCAAATAGACACATAATCAATACAATATTCAATCTTTAGCATATAAGCGGTTAATATGGAAATGACTATACCTACAGATATAAAGCAAGGTCAATCTACACATTCGTACCAAAATCTATACCGTAAAATACTTTAAATTATTTTGACTTTAGATCATTGGCCTGAAAAGTTCTGGGACAGTCCCCAAACATAACTTCAAATGGACGAGGGGGTAATATGTTAATTGTAAATTAAAAAAAAATGATTTTTTTCCATCGATAACTAATAAAATTAAAATTATTTTTTATTGAAGTAATTACATTTGAAGACAATAAGGACAAAGCCGACGAGTTGAAGAAAATTGCGCTTCCAAGAACCAAAATTATGCAGGTGCCCTTAAATGATAAAGAAAGTAAGTAAATGTAAATATTACATGGTTTATCAGTTTTTTATTTATTTATTTATTTATTTATTTATTTATTTATTTATTTTTATTCATTGTTTTAAATATTGCACGGAGGGGCACCTGAGGTCTTTCTCCACAAGTAAAGCTGTAAAGAATGACCTCTTCTGCGACGTATAAGTCAATAAAAATGAAAACAGACGTTTCTTGATGTTACCTATAGGCCGTATGCTCTCTGTTTTTAAATATAAATGAAGTGTCTACCTTAAGTATCATCAATAGGTCTTAATTTTTTTTAAAAAAATAAGCAAATTAATGTTATTAATTATTGTAGAATTTGTATCTGTTTATATATCATATTATTTCATATATAGCTCTTTTTAAACTTATACTTTATATATCTTTCAAATTTAGTGATGTGGGCGAAGTTGAAGCTGCCGGTAGAACTGAAAGAAGATGAAGAAATCAAATTCAACTTGCTCACAGATGTGTAAGAGCGTGAGATTTTCAAATATTAAGGCTCACTATCCCTAAGGAATCCATACTTTTTTAAAAATTCTTTTGAAATGTTAAACATGTGTTATATGACCTGTTGAATAATTAAAGAACGTAGCGCTGAAGGTTATATGATTTGTCATAAAGGTAGCAAAATGTGAACAATGTAGTATTTTGTCTTCCATACACTATAATTAAACCATATTAGTATATATATTTTTTAAAAATATATATATTTAAGTCATTTTGAACAAGCTATTTTGAAAACAATACCCGTGGAACCCTAAATAGTTTATCAATATAAGAGTGTTACAACAGATCTTAAGAATATATTAATTTATATATATGAGCCGTGTCATGACAAAACCAACATAATGGGTTTGCGACCAGCATGGATCCAGACCAGCCTGCGCATCCGCGCAGTCTGATCAGGATCCATGCTGTTCGCTTACACACCCTATTACAAGTAGAGAAACGGATAGCGAACAGCATGGATCCTGATCAGACTGCGCGGATGCGCAGGCTGGTCTGGATCCATGCTGGTCGCAAACCCATTATGTTGGTTTCGTCATGACACGGCTCAATTATATATAAATATATTGTATATATATAAATATATTGTAAGTGGTTCCAAATACCAATTGCAGATATGGCGGCCCAAGTTCTCAAAAGGTAACTAAGAGATTCACACTGGATTGGGACGAATATTTAGCCAGCTCACACAGCATCATAATTGCCAATGTTGACCCACGTGGTACAGGTGGGCGTGGCGATTCTTGGAGACATGCTAATTATAGACATTTAGGGACAACAGAGGTGGACGACACTATTGTTGCTGCAAGGTAAATCAAGTTGTATGGCTATTTTCTAAATCTGAAAGGCAACCTAATTATAATAATATCATTATATTGATAACATGTTTTTTAAAAATAGTGTTTGAATAATTGAACGAGAATACAAAATTAAAAAATGTGGGGTTGATACATTTTATGTAATAACATAACTATGATTTTGTAATGCATGTATTCGCAAAATTTAGATTTTTAATGAACGATGCCAATTTACTTGTTTGAACCGGAAGAGATTGGCCGCCTTTTGTGCAGTCTGAACCGACTCTAAACTGCGGGTACCCTATTTTCTGTATTTTAATAATAAAAGTCCTGAAACTTTGAATGGATCGTTGCTCCAAAATCATTCAAAGTAGGGCTAACACAGCCGGTTTAGTGTTAACATTGTAACCTAATCCTTGTACACGTAATCCTAGTACACGTTATAAGTGATTGTATCAGAGTTATGCACCGGAATTTAACATTTTTGTTTTCAGATATTTTAACAAATTGAAGTATGTCAGTGATAAACATGCTATATGGGGTTGGGTAAGTTATTTATTGTGATATAATTCTACATATTCTATGTTTATCACATCACATCGACAAGTAACAGTTGTCATAGAAACCAACGCTACCATTTTTTGATGCGTTCTACAAGAAAATGCTGTATCTTGGTGTTTCAAATTCACATTAAATAAAATATTTTGAATAATATTTATTCTTACAAGTGTTTAATAAATTTTTATTTCAACATTATTTTGACAATACATGTATTTCCTTTATAGGTATATAATAAATATTTTTATTGGCTACTAAAAGAGATTTATCATAAAATGTGTATCATTTAAATATTGCATATTAACCTGGTTTCAGTCTTATGGTGGATTTCTAACTGGTTTGGCCTTAGCACGTGGCACGGGTGTCTTTGATTGTGGGATTTCCGTGGCCCCTGTCACCGACTATAGATATTACGGTTAGTTTCGTATTATCCAATCATTAAAAGTCTTATTTCTTAATTTAGATAAACTTTATAATTAGTATAAGATATGTCATGACTAATCATGTTCGTATTAATTAAAATAAACTTTGTAAATGGTATATGTGTCATCATAAATCATGTTCGTATAATGTCTTGTATTACTGTACGTTGTTTTCGATGGGTTGGGCCTCTATGAATTCCAGTAAGAACGTTGCAAGCGCCTTGCAGCGTCAGTCAAATCTATATAATTTGGATATAGACATAGACAGGTCATTAAACATTAAGTACAATACGGGGGTATATTTGGACGCTTACACAACTTTAACAATCGCATTAGACTCGCTGCCATATTGTTTCTCCAGGCGTTTATCCAAATATATTCCGGTATTGTAAATTAGTATTGTACATAACGCCGAGTGGTTAATGTTGTTTACTTCGTACCACTTATTCCTCACCGCTGATAGTTCGAATCTCGCCAGGGCTTTTGCATTATTTCACATGAGGAAACTATCCAGCTTTCGGTGGTTCGACACAGGTGCCCGTTCGTGCCTTTAGTGAGGTATTTCTTCACCAGTAAGCTCGAAATTCGAGGTATTGCGTGCGACGTAAAACCGAACAGAAAAATAAAACTTTGAAAACCAACGTATTATCATTTATCACATACTGTGCCGCTTTTGCGACTCAGTAAAAATGTTTTGTTGCACAATCGTGCACATATTTTGACGTTACGTCATTTGCGCGTTACAAACATAGAGTAAAGAACGCTAAATGTTAGCGTACAGAATATTATCTAGTCGCGTCATTTAAAAAAATAATTCTTTTTTCACTTTAAACAGTCATTATATATTTTGGGCTATGAGATAAATAAAATATGATATTCGTGTAGGTTCATTACTGAAATTATTGAACTCGTTAAAAAGAATTATATTATGCACGTCACAGGCTCGCATTCAACTCGTTCAATAAATTCAGTATCGAACTTACAGCCATTCAATATCGTCTATATATTACAGATAGTGTGTACACGGAGAGATACATGGGCATGCCATCCGCAGACGACAATCTGGAAGGATATGAGGTATATGAGCCGTGTCATGACAAAACCAACATAGTGCGTTTGCGACCAGCATGGATCCAGACCAGCCTGCGCATCCGCACAGTCTGATCATGATCCATGCTGTTCGCTTACAAACCCTATTACAAGTAGAGAAACTGATAACGAACAGCATGTATCCTGATCAGACTGCGCGGTCGCAAACGCATTATGTTGGTTTTGTCGTGACGCGGCTCATATGTATGTCAAACACCATCATCAATTTAAGGGACAGCTATACCCTAGTGGTTTATGTGTTTAACTTAACACCAAGGGATAAGGGGTTCGAACCTTACTAGGGTTATGGCGATATTTTTTTTATAATGTAATGACTCTAGTTCTGCTTAGTTCAAGAATACGGACTCGAACATTTTTCAGATCATGTACTCAGAGTGGAGTCGAGTTAATGTGCTATGTTTTAAACCGGAATTATACATCAGCCAATAATCCAAAAGTATTTAGGTATAATATGTTTAAGACTTCAAATTATTTTAGTGATGCTTTTTTTTTTACTTTAATGGTTAAAACATTGCCGATATTACATTTTTTAATTTCAGATAATCACTTTTTGAGATGTGCAGCTTAATATGTTGATTTTCATTTTAAAGCCCTTTACCAACAAAATATATAGACACTGTTATTAGAGATAAATATCTAAATACATGTATATCTATTTTCAGGCGACAAACATTTCCAAATTTGCGGAACAGTTTAGGAAATCAAAGTTTATGATTGTACATGGTACGGGGGATGGTAAGAAACCTTTATATAATTATGTTCTTATACTAGCGTTAATTCATAAGTTGTCATTTGTCAAAATGATGATAAAATGAAGAAATTACACATAAAAATATTGATAGGATTAATAATTATTTATAAATATTATCTCTGTCTCTTAATATAAAGAGGATATTTAAGTTCTTTCTTTATTTTATTATAGGATTTATTATACATTTATAAATTAATAATATAGGATTTATTTTCATCGAGTGGTATGAAAATAAATATTTCATGCGTGGCGGAAAATAAATCCTGTATTTATGAAAAAAACTTAAAAAAATATGTTAATTGTATACATTTGTATCTTTTTTGACATGACAATTTGAAAGACTTTCACTTAAATTTTGTATATTGGCTGAAGTTAGGAGAAAGTAGTCTGGTAAGATATCAGTGAAAATACAGAAAATATGTTTCACTGCAGTGAAAATACGGAAAATGAAAATATGCATTTTATTTTATTAATACTTCTCAATATTTCATTTATCAGTATATAATAAAACTTAATGTAACTTAATATAACTCATTTTATTATTTTATTTTCATTTATTTTTCATTCAAAGAAAGAATTGACACTTCTAGTATAATTAGCTTAAAGTAAATGAAAACCATTGCAAGCTCAAATATATTTCTCTACAGCGCTTGAATGCTAAACTCTTGCCTTTTTCACACCGATTTAAGTATGATAATGAATGTAAAAAAAAAATATTTCTCTATTTTGTGATCATGATTTCTGCAAGCGTCTAGAGGTACTGCTCCAAAATTATTTTTCTTTTTCAATTTCAAATAATCAATTGCAGACATTTCAACATAAAGGTTTTGAGGTTGATAATTATAACTGACAAAACTCTTTTCCTTTTCTTTACAGTTTGTTCAAAATTAGATTTGATAGATTATAAAAAAATAACTCGGCTGTCATTTGGGCCATAAAACTTATTTTATCTATTAAGTTAATTATTGGTCTGATCGCGAAAACCGATTTCATCCGTACTACTAGTGCAGACATTAGTCAGAACATAAATTGTATTTTCTTTCCCTAAAATGATTAATGGTTATGTCAAAATTGAAAGATGGACAAGTCCATTTAAGATTTATCGTGGAAAGGATATTCATGTATGATTTATTTTTTCAGATAATGTTCATTTCCAGAACACAGTTCAGTTGATCCGGGCACTTACGGAAGCTAATGTATATTTCCGATCTCAGGTGTGTATTTCTATTTGTAGGACCCGCATTTCAATTAAATTGCAAGATATATACATTTTATTGGTACACATAACAAATTGATTTCTTTTATTAATTTAATTAGGAAGACAGACTGACACACAAATAGGCAGACAATTTATCACCTTTATCATATAAGATTGATAAGTTCATTTAAAGTGATACGAAAACAGCTTACGTGAAAGACTTGATAACTTGAAACTAAACAATTTTACAGAAGAAAATATATTCTTTGTAATGCGAAAAAAAGCTCGAGATACATTGATGCATGCTGTTTCATATATGTATATCATTTGATGTAGGTTCAAATCTCATCATGAACTTTGGGCTCGGTGGTTCTACTCAGATTTTCCCTACATCAGTAAGGCTGTAAATTCACCAAATGACTATAATATAAACGGTGTGGTTCGAAACACAGCAAATCACTGCTGAATTTCTTCAATTATTCATTCTGATTAATCCATGTAAGGTTACAAGTATTTTCCTGATATTTTCTATAATCATTTATTTGGACTTAATGGGCCTTTAATACTCTTTGTTATATTTAGATCTACACAGATCAGCAGCATAGTATAAACGGAGGTAACTCTCGCAGGCATCTATGGAACACGTTAGAAGATTTCCTCTTCCAGTGTTATGGTTGGCTCCCATTACTTAAATTTTGTCTTAACGAATGAAATATTGTTTTTAGAATAAAATTATGAACTGTGCTATAAGAAACAGAATCTGTAAATATAAATCACGTATAAATAGAGACAATAAACACAGCATTGACGATTAGCGTGGCTTTAAACCCTGTCAGGGGCAAGTCGTTGTTTCTTTGTGCAAGAAACTAAACTATACAATCATTGGTTAATAATGGTTGGTTTCGGGAACAGTTTCGGGAGAGTTTTAATAAGCTTAAATCTTGCGACACAATCGAACTTAAATAAATTTGTATAAACTAAACTAACTACAGCGCTTCTTTCTTTACCATTAGGAATAGTGCAAATTTTTTGTAACGATTTATTTTATACTTATATACTGAAATTGGCTATTTTTATTCCTGTAACTAGTAATAAAACACTGAACAACGATATGCCATGATATCTATAAGTAGCATTTTATGCCTTTTGTCAAACATATCTTAGTATTTAAAACATACAGCTTTAAACTGGGCTTTTATCTTATATGAAAATGTGAAAATGTTTATCTAATCACCTTGTTTTTACTGATCTTTTTCAATCAGGAGGGACCAGGACACGACTTGATGAGTTGAATAAAGAATCATCAGAAAAAGACGACATGGAGGACGAATAATTTCCAGTATTGAATGAAATAGACATATTGAGATGTTTGCTAATATAAGCGGATTACTTTTCCTCCTTGGAAATTCTATCGGCATTATAATTAAACAGACATTTTTGATAAATTTATAACAATTTGCGTTTTGATCAAATTAATTTGACTATTCCATACATGGAATTAACTTTTCCATATTTCGGAGACAATTGCTTTTACAACCATTTCCAACTTTGGAACAAATTCCTATTCAATCATACAATACTGAAATTCTCATCTTCAGAACAAATTGCCATCTCATTCATAGAGTCGGAACAAATTGGTGTTTCAGTCATAGAATAATGAAATAGTATCCGTTTCGGAACAAATTGCCATTTCAGTCATAGAGTCGGAACAAATTGCTGTTTCAGTCATAATGATAGAATAATGAAATATTCTCCGTTTCGGAACAAATTGCTATTAACTTCAATTCACAGAATAGTGAAACTCTCAGCTTCTGAACAAATTGCTTTTCTATTTATAGAATAATAAAATTCCCCATTTTGGAACAAATTGCTGCGCGGTTCATAGGATAGTAAAATTTCCAGCTTCAGAACAAATTGCTTTTCCATTCACAGAAAACACAGAATGTTCAGCTCCGTTATAGTGTAAAACTGTAAATAAAATAGTAAAACTGTGACCAACGGCTAAAAATGTTCTTTGGAAAACATCATCTTTATAAACTAGATACATACATTTATTTCCTCCATATTTGGAGAGCAATCCATATTGGGAACGTAATTGTATGTCAAAAATCAAAACTTAAGATGGATTGTCACTGTTTAATTCAATCGAATTAAATACATGCTCAGTAATAATATAAAATGTCTAATTGTTGAGTTATGAAATAAAACAATCAACCTCTGGATAATATAATAACGTGAAGTCTTAGATTATGAAACAAACCGATGTAACACACTTATCGCCTGGGCAATAGTGCTTTTTATTTATCATATAGACAGATTATATGTATGTAATGTACATACAACGTTTTATGGACAATGAATCATTACTTTTCAAGAAATTATTGAACTGATTTATTTTGTACATGTATATATATATATATAATATAAATTGAACATATTTGTTAATGAAAATAAGAGATATAAGTTAGTGCTGCCGCACTGGTCATATTTTATATTTTAAATTAGTGTTTTATTACCAGCCCCGGTGATATTTTAGACATGTACGCAAATATAAGGGCACACATATTTATAGATTTTATAATTTTATAGCTTACATAGGATCTGCAAAATGAAATCCACCTATATATAAATGACGAAAAATCAACAACAAAAAACATTGTATTGAAATAACGATATGAAAAATGAAATCTACACGAGCAATCAATTAATATAACCAGAAATCATTTACATTTATTATATTATATAACCCAATATAAATGGTTCTAAGATTATATAGCCCAAACAGCTTTAGGCAAAGGTTTTATGGTTTTTAAAACAAACATGGAAATTATAACAATCCACCTGTGACGTAGAGCGAGTAAAATATCAGTTGTATCATAGTTTGGGTACCTTTCTGTTGAAAAAGTGTCAGAGTTAAATCGTATACATATACATGCACAGTGCGGTAACTGGAGTGCGGGTATCAGTTACCCGCACTCCAGATAATGCCCGTGGATTGGTTCATTTTTGCCGGGGTTTACATATTGTGACGGCAGAGATTGGGAAAGGGGCAGAACTATCATATTCAAATGCTCGTTCATTGGTTAATTTTTTTGGGGGTTTCATATTATGACAACAGGGAACGTGTTGTCATGTTTGACTATGATACAAAAGAGAAAGAACACCAAAACACTCGGCAATCTGATTTATACTCGGGGGCTACGCCCCCTCGTACAAATCAGATAGCCTCGTGTTTCGGTGCTCTTTCTATTACTTAAGAAGTGTCATTATAAATATTACTGCATTAAGATAGTCTTACTGTCATGCCTTCCCGCCAAAAAATCTAACATTGGCCAATTATCGTAATGAATCAGTTATTTCCGGGACGTTATTTTTCACAATTTTTGATATTCAATAATTTTTTACTCGTTATTATCGGAATTTAGTACAAAGCGATAAAGGATAAGTGATTGTAAAGAAATTATACCCAATATTTCAAAAAAAAAACGTTCCGGAAATGACCGATTTGCTACGCTTGGGAAGATGTTAGAATTTTTTGGCGGGAAAACATTACAGTAAGACTACCTTAAATGAAATAAGTTAGTGATATATATTTGTTCGTATAAATAAACCGTCCGTGACTGATATCCCACTTGTTGAATCCAAAGTAAGATATAGTTATAGAATTTTACACTTAAAAAAAACAAATTGATCTAAGCAAAGCTGAATAAGGATATATATAACCATTGCATATTTCTTTTATTTTCTAAAAAAATACATCAAATAAACAGATTATAAACAGATGTAAAACGAGTGTACATAAGGTATAAAACAAGGTTGTTTGATAATATAATTGTTTGTATAATAAAAGAATATATGAGTTTGTTTTGATTTTGTACTGTTTACTTTGTTTTGTAAACGAATTAACTGTAATAAAATATTTTTGTATAAATCATTTGTTGTTTTTTATATTTTCCTCCGATTTAAAGGAACTGGAGTAAAAAAAATCCTGAAAAAAAGTTTGAAATTTTAACATATAGAGGATATTTGTTTGTTTTGCATGTAAGATTGAAATATAATTTCACTGAGTGAACACCAGATGCAATATTTTCACGAGTGGCGTAGCCACGAGTGAAAATATAATAGCTGGTGTTCACGAATGAAATATATTTCAATCTTATATGTAAAACAAATAAATTTTCTTTTTATTTCATGCTTTTTAAGGGATTTTAAGTATATTTTTACTGATTTTGCCGCGTAACGTCACGTATTCTCCTATGTGACGTCATCATATCATGACGTCACATCATCAACTTTGAAATATAGTTCTGTTAATTTTCTCTTATTTTGTTACATTTTTACATGATGTATGATGACATCGACTGTCTTTTCCTAAAGAAGCAAAATTTACGCATGACGGCAATTATTTCTGCTTGTTATTTCATTTAGTTATGATTTTCTTTTCATCCGCATCCAGATATAGTCCGGCTACAGTGAAAATTATATTTTATAAATTTCACTAGTGGTTTATCAGAATATAATCATCTGATATATTACAATAAAACACTGGAAAGCATGAAATAAAGATCAAGTAAAGCAATTTTAATGGAAATCTGCAACAGAAGATTAAGAAATATGCTCCGAAATTAAATTAAAAATCGATCTTTTTGTGCGATTTTAGCCGTATTTGAGTGAAAGGCGTTGTAACTATTTTCATTATATTTAGGTCATTTTTTACAATAAAATGATTATTCGGTCAAAACGGGCTAAGGTGAGGGAGAGACGTAAAAATTTCGAACCGAGTCTACATCAAATGCTATACAAATCTCGGAAAAAATATTTCGAGTCACGTTATGTCAAAGGAAAACTCGGTGGAGTTCTTTTAATTCGTGCTTGTACCACATAGTTGCACATACAGCAATAGTGCTCTAACTGAAGTCCAAAAAATGATGAACATGCTATATTTTCGCAAATTGTACATAAATACATTTGGCCCCATTACAAAAAATTACTAATCCGTTTTGAGGTAAAGATATGCAAGAAGTTCTGGTCTACGAACAAGAAATAATTACCGGTAATATAGGTGTTAACATATAAGAAAACATTACCGTTGGTATATTGGTTTACATGAAATAACAGTATAAAAGAGATAAAGTGGTTTAGATATAAGAAAACAGTGCTAGCGGTATAGTGGTTTTACATGTAAGAAAACAGTGCTAGCGGTATAGTGGTTTTACATGTAAGAAAACAGTTCTAGCGGTATAGTGGTTTTACATGTAAGAAAACGGTTCTTGCGGTATAGTGGTTTTACATGTGAGAAAACAGTTCTAGCGGTATAGTGTTTTTACATTTAAGTAAACAGTTCTTGCGGAATAGTGGTTTTACATGTAAGAAAACAATTCTAGTTGTATAGTGGTTTAACATGTAAGAAAACAGTTTTAGCTGTAAAGTGGTTTGACATATAAGTTAACAATTCTTACGGTTTAGTGGTTTTACATGTAAGAAAACAGTTCTAGCGGTATAGCAATTTTACATGTAAATAAACAGTTCTAGCGCAAAAGTAGTTTTACATATAAGTAAACAGTTTTTTCCAGTATAGTGGTTTTACATATAAGAAAACAGTTCTAGCAGTATAGTGGTTTTACATGTAAAAACAGTACTGACTGAATAGTGATTTACGTATAAGAAAACAGTATCAGCGGTTGAATGGTTTATATATAATAAGAACAGTATTAGGGGCTGAGTGGTTTGCAAATAAGAAAACAGTATTACTGGCTGAGTGGTTTACATACAAAAAACAGTGTCAGCGGTAAATGGTTTATACATGAGAAAACACCATTGGCGACTTAATGGTTTACAAACAAAAACCAGTTTCAGCGGTAAAATGGTTAATATATGAGAAAACATTATTAGCGGTGAAGTGGTTTACAAACAAAAAACAGTATTAGCGGCTGAGTGGTTTACATACAAGAAAACAATGCTAGCGGAATATTTATTTACTTATAAGAAAGCAGTCCTGGCGTCATAGTGGTTTACATTTAAGAAAACAGTATAGTGGGACTACATAAATAAAAACAGTAGTAAAGTGGCTTACATATTAGAAAGCAGTACAAGCGTCATAGTGGTTTACATATAAGACAACAGTACTGGCACAGTACTGACGGTCTAGCGGTATACATATATAAAAACAGTACTAGCGGTATAGTGGTTTACATATAAGAAAACAGTGCCAGCGGTTAACATATTGGAAGACAGTATCAGCTGTACTTGTAGGGGCACCAGAAGTTTTCCTCTAAAAGTTAAAGTAAAATCCGTTTTATGATCTTACTGTGTTGGTGTTTTAATGCTTAAAAACTAATTAGGACTTTGCATGTCCTTATAAGAATTTAAAAAAAACTTATAACGAGAAATAAAATTCTTATTTGCTATTTTTATTAAAAACTAATAAGATGCTACAAAGTCCTAATTATTTTTTTATTTCTCCCGGGTAGGCTTTCAAAACTTCTTTTTAATAATTGTCAAGTTTTAATTAGGATAATATCTCCTAATTACGAGTATAAAAATAGTTGAATCTTGGAGAAAAAGTCCTTGAAAGTGAAAACGACCTTTTTAGGCATCTACAATTCGTAAACAGAAGTAACAACGCCCTTCTAAGGCTTTTAAATAAAGTATTTTTAAGACCATTAAGATTTTGCACCAGGCTGATTCGTACCGAAATTTTTTTGAAAAAAAAAGAAGAGATTGTCGACCATGCGACCATATACATGCATCAAGGAAATGCTGTAAGGAAAGTGACCATACGACCATATACTCGTACATGCATCAAGGACATGCTGAAAGAAAGTGACCATGCGACCACACACACGCATCACAGGATTCCTCTTAACGTACGAGAAAAGGACGCAGGCTTTAAAAATATACATTTTTCTTATTGTTCTTGATAAGCAGGCTTTTTTTAACAGATATGTCTTGAATTGGTTTATATAATTACAACAATAGTTACACAAACCAAACAGAGGATCAGTTTTTGTGCATCATCATTATCATTATCATCATCATCATCATCATCATCATCATCATCATCATCATCATCATCATCATCATCATCATCATCATCATCATCATCATCATCACCTTCATCTTCATCATCATCATCATCAACAACAATCATCATCAACAATCATCATCATCTTCATCACCTTCATCATCATCATCATCATCATCAACAATCATCTTCATCATCATCATCATAATTCTTATTATAATTATCATTATTATTCTTATTGTCATTATTATTATTATTATAAGGATATTCTTTAAATGATTAATAATGAGTGAAAAATAATTTTAAAAAGTATCAAAACCCCCTAATTGAAACACAACATTTGTAATGTGTACCAAAATCAACCATTATTTTATTGAGTAGGGAATCACAAACGACCAGTCAGTAAGGTTTGCGTGACTTCATACTATTTTAACCGTTTATTTTCACCGTAAAGTGTTTTTATTGCACTCCTGTGATGTTTACACCTCATTTAGTCTGTAATTAGTCAACCTCATGCGTTTCAATATTACTGAAAAACTGTAATTAACTAAAATGTTCGGTTAGTACATGTACAGACGAATTGTAGCATCAATATAGTTTAATATGTCTTTGTATGTACAAAATGTACTTTAGCAAATAATAATGTAGAATCTATGGAAAAAAAATGACATTTTGATGAATAAATATCATGATTGTTTTTCCCAAAAAAATTTCACACTCAGCTTTTTGAATATACTGTAAACATTTATTTTTCTTTTCCCAACAACGAAAGAGAAGATATCGTAATGTTGGGAAGTTGGGGTTCAAAGCTTCTGATCATTGCTTTGTTTGTTTGTTTGTTTGATTTGTTTGTTTGTTGTTTGTTTATTGTTGTTTTTGTTTTCGTTATTTCTTAATTTCAATGTTGTTTTTGTTGTAGTCGGTGTTTTGTTTGTTGTTGTTGTTGTTGTTGTTGTTGTTGTTTTTAGCGGTTCGAAATTGCTTACTCGAGATTCATGCTAATTTTCATGAAAATATTTAAAATATAATAAAATTAAAATGTTGTTAAATGAACAAAGAAAGTAATTTACCCATTCTGTACGATAACCAAAATTAGGTCAGAATATGCAAAAATAACCCTTTCTGCGTTAGTCACGCATTATAATAAATTGAAAAATACTGCTTAATCAGTCATTAATTGCATATAACGTGTAACTTATTTCTTGAATTGTGAATAATTTTACTTTTCTTAAAATTTTAGCACATTTTTCTCAATGTTAGTTTTCCTTGAAATACATCAAAACATCAATTTCATACGTATGATAGATATACGTCGGTAGATGGCATGTAGTGAATATCTTTTTGAAAATTAACGTCATTAAGGGGTAAAACAAATAAAGATTATTCGACAGTACACTAAACATATTGCACTGCCGTTAATAAATTACAATTAAACATAAGGCATATTGCATAATATATATAGTTTCAATATTGTATATTTAGTTTCAATAACCGGAGAGAAACATGTCAAATAGCAATGACAGCACATTTTTAGTTACTATAAACTGTAATATAATTCAGCAAATTATAGTTTTCCAATGCCATAGAAATAGACAAAGTTATGTAAAATGCAAATTTTGACATCCCCAAGCAAGATAGAATAAATGCAGTCATTCGGTTTCATACAAAAAAAAAACAACATTCAAAAATTGTTTAAATAATGCTAATATTGTTTATTTACAAACGTGTAATTGAAAAAGTAATAACTACATTTTTATGACGATCATTAATGGAAGAGGTGGGGGAAATTTGTAACCGTATTGGATCTAATCACCCTTCATTATTAAGCAATAAAATCTTATTATTTATTAGTTTCAAATAAAATATATCCATGCAGAACATTTCAGTATATATAGTCAATTATTTACCAACAATATTTATTACTATGTCATTGATCAATCGTCTAAGACACGCGCATTTGTAATCTAGCAGCTTCATTAAAATTATGGCTGTTTCTAAAATGTTTTTAAATAAGATAAGTTTGGAATTAATTTTCTTCATTGTAACAATAATATGTATTCACTCTGAGGCAGGTTTGTTGTTATTTATTTACTTATTTATCTATTCCATTTTTTCATTCATTCATTCATTCTTTCTTTCTTTCTTTCATTCATTCATTCATTCATTCATTCATTCATTCATTCATTCATTCATTCAATTCATTAAATTCAATTTAATTATTCATTCATTCAATTCATCCATCCATCCATCCTTCCTTTTCTTTCTTTCTTTCTTTCTTTCTTTTTTCCTTCACTTTCATTCCTTCCATCCTTCCATCCTTCCATCCTTCCTTCTTTTCTTATTTTCTTTCTTTCTTTCTTTTTATTTCTTTTTATATTTATTAATTTATCAATTAATATATTTATTGTCATTCTTATATTTAGATGTATTTTAACTTTCATAACTTCTAAAATGTGCTTATTTGATGTGAACCTTTATACTACATCCCATTTGTATATACTACAACTTAAAATTATGTCCAAGGTCCGTTCAACTTTGATATGCCCTTCAATAAATATTATATGTTTCACTCAGTCCCAAACAGTGTGGTATGTTTTATATTGCACTGACATATTGACATACAGTTTAGTGTCATATCGAAAACCACTGTTTAAATTGTTTCTTCACATTTGGTATTGGTTGTTTTCAGTTTTCTTAAGAAATTCATTAATACATTTATGATGCGAAAAAGAATTAGTCATGTTTTGTTTTTGTGTTTGTCTTGCTAGCAAATGTGATATATGAGGACCTATCTTTAGACAAAGTATGCAACAAATAATTAGAATTAACTTGCTTTACGAATTATCATTTTAAAAGAACTGAAACATGTTAAGCTTTTTCCTGTCTGAACGTGTAACAGGAAATAACAGTGAGTGTGCATTGTACCAAAGAACGATGTGCACATTTGATTTTCATGAATTTCGTAATATCACAATTTTAACTTCGTGAATACAAGTTTTCAATATACGGAATTCACTTATTCACTATTCTAACTTCATAAATTCACGATTTCAACTTCACGAATTCAATTTGGTGAATTCACGTTTGGAATTTCACGATTTCAGGTTCGTGAATTAACGATTTAAGCTCCAAGATTTCACGATTTTATTAAAAGTTTCAAAGAATTTATATTTTAAAGGTCTACAAACAATTTGCTACATTGTTTTTATCTCTTGCAGATCTACGAAAAGAAAGTAAAATGTATTTTTATACGGAAGCTGCTACGTAAGACCATATCAAAATCATCATAATCTGAAAATGATAATTATTTACATTTAGATAAATCTGTTTTATAGCTGTACCTGTGTTTACAACACCTGGCTCATCCGGCCGCACCGTTCCCGTGTCGGAAACACTGCCGGCAGGTTCCTCGGTCTACAGAGCCGTTGCCGTTGATGCCGACGGCGATATATTAGTTTACTCACTGACGTCACAGATTCCGGCAAGCCCACAGAGATTTAGCATCGACTCTAAGACCGGCGTGATAACTACCCTATCTACGTTTGACTTTGACGGCCCAGACGCTATCAGCGAATACTCTATCTCTATACGGTAAATAACTTTTAAAATAAATCAAAGCGCTGCAGGTACTTGCGATATTTTCATGATATGAGGAGCCATTTCAGTGTTAATTATAAAAAAAAATTCATATATAATTCATATAATAGCTAAATTTTATCGCAACTTTTAAAGGGGTTTATGAAAAGCCGAGAAGGTCCGATGGCAACCCAGTGGAAAAGGACTCGTTTTAGAATATTCAAACGATTATTATTGTCTTCATATAAAACAAATTTGCATAGATAAAAATTATTAATATAACCTTTATTAAAGTATTGTATATTATTATATTGCGTGTCCTAATTGTCAATATTTCACTTGTCTGACATTTTTTCACAGTTGTTAAACTAAAATTATTACTTAAACTATTATTTATGAAATTTTCATAAGCATGCAATTCGCCTAGATATGACGGTTGTTAGTTGGAAATATGTTTTTGTATTGCGTTTACCAAAACAAACTGTACATGTATCACTAAATCAAACATTTAACAACATGCTTTTGTAGTTGTTTGAATATAATTGGAAAAATGAAGAATTTCCTGTCGTCGATATAAGCCAGGTCTGAATGACTATGTTTTTGTTTTATACATGTAGATAGCTGAAGATATTCGGGCCCATGTATGGTCTAAATGATATAGATATGACTGCTAATATAGTTATCATAAGTCTATTCCATTCCATATAAACTGCCATATATATTCTTTCTTTTTACAATTATTTATTACTTTGTAGGGTTACTGATGGCACAAGTAACATACAGACGACATTGGTCATGCAAATTGAAGACGAAAACGACAACAGTCCGGTGTTTAGTCATTACCAAGTCATCCGACAAAGAACTAAACCAGGTATTTACACATAGATTTATATACCCAAGCTGAACTCGATAGCTATCACAATCAATGACAATGTCTTGATTTTTTTCAATTGTAATTCCTATCCTTCTTTGCCTGTAAGTTTACTCATGCGTGGCCCCAGTAGGGGTTTAAGGGGACAGGACCCAATTCCCCTTTCCTTCACTTGGAATTTTACAAATACGGAACTATTCTTAGATTTAAATATTAAGTTACATGTTTAGCAAAAACACACGCAAACACTAGTGAAAATAGACAAAATTTTTACTTATAACCCCTCTTTCTAGAAAAATGGTGAAATGTCAAGTTCCGTTGGAATATGCAAATTGGTCATGCAAATTGAAGACGAAAACTAAATATCTGTATGAGTGTTAAACACGTGAAGTATTGCGTTTGATCCTTAAATATTGTATGTTGTAATGCTATCTTTGTTTCATCAACAAGATGATAAATTGTTTCAATACCAGGGTATCAATAAAACGTAATGACGTAACAAGAGTAGAATTATTTGTAAACTTTAATTGTATATCTATATATGTGAAACATAAACATTTAATACCTTTGACCTTATATAGGATATGTTGTTGCTGACATTAAGGCGATCGATGCTGATTCGGCCAGTAACGGACTTGTGACCTACAAAATAACAGGTATTGTACAAATACACGTATGCATACATATTGGAACACTTAAAATTCACTTTTTTTCTCCTACTCATCTCTTGCGAAGAAATATTCTTTTTACGTCTTACCATTTTTCGTAAAATTCTTTTTTCTCCAATCTATTTCATCATGATCATTATTGTTGACGTAACTTGCTGTCGCCATTGTCGTGTTTTTTGTTATCGTCGTTATTATTATAATTATCACTATTATTATTATCATCGTCGTCGTTGTTGTTGTTGTTTTGATATTTTGATTAAATAAACTGTTGTAAATTGGTTAACTTAATTTGTCACGTTATTTCATGTCATTATCAGGTCCCGAAATATCAAACGATCATAATGAAAGGTTCTATTGTCGTCGTAAATATCTTTTAAAAACATTTTCATGCTTATCCCTGTATTTGTTTGTGTGTTTAGTAGATATTGAACATGTTAAAATATGTCACACTAATCTTTATAAAATTCAAACGTTTTATTAACAGGCGGAAATAAAGAGGGCGCTTTTGGAATAGATTCAGAAAATGGCGTCCTGTACACTATGTATGAACTTGATTCTGGTGATTTATACAACCTCGTGATTGAAGCACGTGACTATGGGGCAACACCGAGATCATCAACTATGACAATGACCTTGACATTGGCCGGTCACCTTGACAACGGAACAGAACAAAACAAGAGTCATATTTCAGCATTCATTATAAGTTATGGTCTGTTGCTCATTATATCTAAGTTGATTTGATAAATGAAAACAAGATAATAAAAGGGGGGTATAAAAATGGTTATAAATATGTGCTATATTGCAGCAGCAGAAACAGCAACAACAACAATAAAAATATGTATCATTAGAAAGAAATTGGTTTTCAGATTCAGTAATTGGATTAGATCATATCAGTGTTTACTTTTAAAGAGATTATGAAGAGAACATTATTTCAGCCGAGTATCTTGCCATGTTTCAGATATTTTAAAGGAACTCCTCTTAGGTTCAAAAGCCTAAAAAACATAAAAATTTGATTCTCTGTCATAGAACACCTGGGACACTTAATAAGATAGAGATGAGTGATATTATTGAAAAATATACCAAGAAATAAATTGAAAATCGTTTTTTGTTGTGCTATTTTTGCCCAATTTGTGTGAAAAGCAGTGCAACACTTTTTCAATTTTGGAGCATTTTTCACAGTAAGATTGATTATTCTAACAGACAAAGTGAGAAAAGTTTTGCACACGTTATTGGTCAAGACATACATCAAATGGAACACCAATTCCGAAAAAAAATGCTCCAGCCCTTTTATTCAAAAATAAAACTCAGTGGAGTACCTTTAATGACATCAATATAATTTATAAAAACTTACGGTCATTATTTCCATAGACCAATGATATGAGCACATTAGACAGCACTGCTTGGTATTTTCTCGGTGTAACGTTTCACTTTCAACAAGTCCCGTACATGATGTGTAGGTATAAAAGTTCAAAATACTAGCAGGCCATTTAAGTATCTAAAGGTACCAGCGAGTACTTGTTTCACATGGGCGTATATTGTTGGACATACAGTGGGCTGGCAAGTAGACCCCAACTTCACAATAACCCTATTTAAGACGGTAACAACTCCATTGTGTAATTTCGGCATGTGGGCAGCAATTTATGTTTTGCTTCACCCGGAAGCTTCCTAGGTTTAGAAATTATATACTAAAATATTCAACTACCTACATTGTTTACAAAGGTATGGCCGGTTAAGCTTTTAAAACCATAAAAGTTAGTAACCGCACACATACGTTTCTGTACAAAACGCTTTGAGGAACAACATGCAACCTTGCTTGTTGAGTTTGTTATTACATCCTTATCGTTGGATCCAGAAATGATATATTCTGTCCTATCCATAGGTCTTAATTAATTGTAAATAAATCTTACTTGAAAAGTTCATTGTTTTATCTCTGCAAGCCATCCACCATAAATTAACTTCGTTATCTCTAACAGCTTATATAAATCTATTGACCTGTTCTGTCAACTTATCACACTTTCTCCAGATTTGTTGTCTTTCGCTACGTGATTCTTATTATTACTCTTTTTTCTAATTATAAATTATTCTTCTCTTTACTTTTTTCTTTTTTAATTTGGTTTTACGTTCCACTTTAGTGTTTGAAATTATGTGTTGTCCAATAGAATAACAGAATTTCAAATGAAACGTAATACGTTTAGTGTAGTAAAACAGCTAAATTTTAATTAGTCTGGTAAATTGACTGTTTATAAATTTAATTTCAAACACAAATTTGTACCGTTCCTAACATAGGTAATTTTGTAAATGTTTACTCATAAACACTATCAACCTTAACTTAAAGGTCATATGGCGTCTTTCGAGCTTTACTGGGGAGAAGAATTCAGACTCGGATAAAATTTAAAAGGATCATGAATTCGGGAGAAAACTATGCAACAAAAGAACAAGATAGAGAATATGCATCATAATTTGTGGTCCAGTTGTTAAATTCCCCCAAACTTACAAAACAACAGCAACAAGTGCGGTGCTCCTTTCGAAGATCTGGTTGAATAGTAACATTCCAAAACTGCTAAAGAATCAACCTACGCAGGTGACTCTCAGGACATAGGAAATTCCTGTTTTAAAACGAAAATGCTATCACTTTAATAAAGCGTTTAGTTAAAGGATATGTAACACTACAGTCGAAAGTAATAAATCTAAAGTGAATTCGTACATGTACAGCAAGTCACATTGGAGACATAACGTCAAGTTATTTAGTCTCTGTATTAATGCTTGAAAATGGTCTTAGTAAGATAATGAAGCTCTTCATATCATTTTGTGTGAAGTTGGAACACATGTTAACATTCGGCAATTAAATGCCATAAACCTAAAAGACCCACTTTCTGCTGACTTGCTTACTTGTAAATAAATTAGTTCTTATGTCGGGTGGTATATCAATAGTCACGCATGTATTGCAGAATGATTGACTGAGAATCTAATTTTCAGCAACCTTTGTTAAACAATAAAAGCAAATTTTGGAGATTTTTTTTATTGAAAGGAAGTTAATTGAAATTTCAATGCGGTACCATCGTACTTTTCTTTTTGTTCATCCTTCACAAAAAATCTAAATGATGTCATCTTTCAGTTTGATTTGAAAATGTGATTGTCAGTTCCAGAATTGAAGTTTAACAATGAAAGCAGAGAATGGAAGGCAATGGGTGAGTTAAGAGTCAAAGTTGAAGGATCTGTTAATTTGAAGATAGCAAACACATTATAACATATGAAATATATAGGAAATTGATAGCCATATTAAGCTTTTAACGTTGAGCCGCTAGGACAAGGTTGATGGTGGAAGTCTTTGTAGTTTTTCCTGCGTTCAGTTTAGCCACCTTACCGTTCCTGTACAGGCTGTCAAGCAGGTTATAAATTACCAGAACTAGCTGTTTTCACTTTTGCAAGGAACTGATAATTTCTGTACTTATCAGAGCAGAAGTACAAATGACTGTAGAAAAGATTTATATTATCAATCACCACGAAGGTGACCTGCGAATTCACAGCCCATCACTCTACCTATTGAGTATTCCGGACGGTAGGCACTATAGCGTTTACCAGCATACTAGAACCTTCAAATGTGTGTACTATTTTGATTAGGATTTATATTGTTGGAAGCTCACTTTTGGTATTTTGATTAAAATTCCCTTACACTTTGAATAGACGGATCCAAATATACATTATACAAAGTTGTAACAAATGTGTATGGTTTTACGTAGAACATAAATGTGTACATACCCAGCAAAAGAGTGCTTAATACGTTTAAATAAGTCTCTTTGTCTCAAACAATGATACCATGACCACCATGCTTAGTGCATCAAAATCAAAACGACAAAATAAAAAGTTATTAATGAATGATTATTCTTTATTTCTTATATAATAGTAAAATAAGAAAACGGGTTGGAGTTAAACTGGCCACTGGTGATATGTACAATAGATGGATTCGCGTCACATCGCTGCATTATCATCTGTAAATTTTTGAGTGAAAGATATATTGACTTCTCTGCAGTAAAACAACAAATATTCGTAACTCATCAATACAGGACATTTCATAGAAAACAAAATTGTGAAAGTAGGTTTAATTTAACATATTTACAATAGAGATTGGATTCGGGTTTTGACGTGAAAGTATACATTATTATTTTTTTTGAAAAGAAAACTGTTGCAGCACTTCTTAAGATATTAATGTTCTGTCCGCTTTGTAATTTTAGATCTGCTAGATTTAAGGGCATTGACGGATCATTTTCTGTTCGCTGAGCAATTTCGGTTATATTACAGTTAGTTGTAGTAATTAATTATGCTTTTTCAGATCTGCTAGAATTAGGAGCAATTAGGACCATCCTCTGTCCGCTATGCAAATTTAGTAATGTTATTGGTAGTAACGTTGTGGTTCATTTTCAGATCTGCTAGCATAAAGGGCAATGAATTTCTTCCCGCTATGCAGTTACAGTGATGTTAATAACGGACTGTGCACTTTCAAGGCTGCAGTTGTTAACTATGTTTTGTCCGGAAAGCAATTGCGGTTTATTTGGTTGTTTGTTTAATTGGGTTTTACGTCACACCGACAAATTATAGGTCATATGGCGACGCTCTAGCGAAGACTTTGGGTGCCCTTCCGTACATTATTTCAGGCACGAACGGGCACTGAGTAAAACCACCGACGTTCCGAAAGCTAGCTGGATAGCTTCATCACATGAAAAAGGCACGGAAGGGCACCTGAGGTCTTCCTTCACCAGTAAAGCGGGAACATTGCCATATGACCTATAATTTGTCGATGTGATGTAAAACCGAAACAAACAAACAAACAAGCAAATAATGAAGCAAGTGTGTCTCATATTAACCTTAATTCCAGTTTCGTTGTGAAGGCATCCCAGGAAAATTCCACAAAAATATGACTCTGGTTTAAAAACGCCATTGTTGAATACGGCTATTGGGGTGTAGGACGGTAAGGTGTCACATTCATTCATGACCTAAAACATTGTCAAAATACATTACATTACATGTCCGAGCCGGTAATAAATATACCTTGAACGTTAATCCGATTAATTTAAAATTAAAACAGGCTTTTTTTAGAATCAAATTTCCAAATAAGAACAATCTCATTTTATCTAATTTGAGAAACATTAAACGGATTAAAAATTGGGGTATCGAGATTTTCAAAATGTATATCATAACATTGTTTTACGAATAGTGTAATACATTACTTTGAAGAAGTAAAACGAACTGTATAAATAATTCTATATGAAATTTTTGACAGTTTGCTCTGTTATTGTTACATGATTCCCGGGCTTCCGATAGCACATTGTAATGTAGTGAAAGGGGAAGGAACTCGCCATAACTGTCACTGCTTTTACGGAAAATTGTCGGTCTATGATAACCGAAAAAAAAAACACGCAGAGTAAAGTCGCAAATTTTAGATAGGTTATATTAACTGCGTTTCCTTACTTTTATTCCTTGTTTCCACAATGACGTATGACTGACGTCACAATTTGCAAGGACGTACGCGTCAGGAGACGAATGTCTACCGGACGTACATTCGGATGCATTCTGATTCATTGCAATGACTTTTTCAGCGACTCCAAACACAGAATTGAACTTATCACATGTATGATGTACTGAAATAAATTAAAATCGTTTATAAGTATCGATAATGACGTCATGAAAGAATGACATTAACTTCCTCTAACAGCAATACAAACTAATGTATAATACGATGACATTGTAATTTTTAGAAATTACTTATAATATTAAAACGTTATTCACAGTTAGCTTAGTACGTGTTACTTGTATGAAAATTATAAAACTTTTATAATGATGAATATTGTAACATGTATTACCAGAAGAAATGCTATTTTTAGTTGAATGAGTATATTCCATCGGAAGTGATGTAACAAGTTGGGATGTCTTCGCCACAGTTTGTGTCAAGGGAGACGGTGTTGTAAAATGTGCTGATGTTAAGTTAGAATAGATAATGGCTTTGGAAGTTGACGTCTTTACTCCAAAATCTGCAACAATTACAATTACGCAAAATCAATAAATGTATACTTATCTATATTACCTTTTTTCTCTGACCTTAAATGGTGCGAGCTCTATTCAAGACAAATCTAAAAAGTTTTTTCCCCTTAGATAAAATGTTAATGTAAAATATCATGCAATACAAAGTAGACTGCATATAGTAATGTTAATTATATTACTTACTTTACTAAACTCGCCATTATAAAAATATGTTTCTTGTTTAAACACCACAAAACTGTATAAGCAAGCATGTGATGGTATTATCTATTTACGTTTGGACAATTTGGTTGGTAAGCCATATTTTTTAACGGAAGCATGGCGGAAAGATACTATTAGTTAAATTTAAAGAAACTTTAAACATCCTTATGTATCGGATCCTTTTTCTTCAGCATGCTTGTTTGTTGTCACTTCCCATTGCATGGTTTGTGAATCATTCAAGAGAATTGTTTACTTTAATATATACCAGATCGCGCGTTTCGAATAAATGCGAAATGTTGCGATGCTTTAGAGCTTGCGATAGAGGTCTTCAGTTTACTTAACCAAAAGCACGCTCATCTTAAATGACTGTGTCCGTCTTTTAATCTAAACCAAACAACCTATCATTTTAGGGAATGCGTTAAAAATGTGCTAAATTTGAATGGCGAACACGTGACATATACAAGATTATCAACTGATCTTGGCCTACACTAATCACGTGGGTAGTCGACGGCAGTCTAAGGGTAACAGGCATTTCCCTTGGTATGTTTGTACCTATATTGTGTGTCTGTTTATATCCCTGACATTCTTTGTTTTCTCTCCGATCGTCTTATAAGCTCTGTTCTGATCTCTATATAATCCTTTGGTTCAATTGATAGTTTCGCATCAATCAAGGACGGAAGATTTCTAATTTTGAGTGTCTCCATCTAATAAGTACTTTAATTGAAATCAGGAATATTGGGTGAACATTTTTTTCCTGATTTACTGTTTTGTCTCTGATTGTTATGTAAGCTCTATTTTCTTCTGTTCCGTCAATTTTAAATGTAATTGATATTTTGTGATGATTTCTAAAATCATAAATTTAAATCAAGTAGCTAAAAACAAAATCTCGTCGTTTTGAACCTATGCTACACCTTGTGACTAAGTGGTTGCCTTTAATGGTTAAGACATAAGAATTGCAGACACCGTTTAAGGCGAAAAAACAATGGATTCAAATAGATAGAGTCTGTGTATCTCTAAGCTCCAGCAGGTGAGGTGGTTTTGATCCTAGGTGTTGCCAAGCGTTTGTAACACCCGACACCTGAGGTAAGCCATAGACATCTTTTCTTTCCTGTTTTGGCGCCATATGACTTATACTGTGTTGGTGCACATTTTAACCAAACAAACCAACAAATAAAAGCAATGCATCGTGTGTGTTAAAATATACCAAACTAGAAAATAATTACTTTCACACAGGGTGCCATGATAACCATGGTGACATTCGCAGTGAAACCCCCGTTTCGTATTGTGACATGTCCCGTTGTTTTGGCATGGGGAAGATGAACAAGGTTTATCTAAAATGTACAGTTATTTTTATATATTTTTCATAAAGTTAATCCTAACTGTTACTTTCAAACAGATGATTTAACTAAAATCTTAATAAAATAGAGAAAATAAGAATCTCTGAAGAAAGTCCAACATGGCAAAATTGAAAATGTTGCAGGCTCGGTTTGATTGAGCCTGTTCATGGACGGTACTGTCAAGTTCAAACTACCGCTCACACCCCCTAGCACCGGCTTTCAACATTTAACATGAACTGGTAAAATTTGAATTTTGAAACATCCACAGATGTGTTCATATGGCGGTTATCATGGAACCTTCAATGTGACACGTAAGTGCCATTCCATGAAAAGTGGCATATGGTCCCCAAGTAAAAAAATGCGTCTGCCCTAAACGAGAAAACAATGGGCGGAACTAAATAAAATGGAATTTTGAAAGAGATAACTTTGATGACATACTATTTTTTTCAGTAATCGTCGAGTAAACTCTTTTTATTTATGTTTTTGATGCAATTAATATTTTGTATCTAGAAAGGATTGGTGATTTCTAAAATTATACATTTATTTAAATCAAATAGAGAAAACAAGAGGTTGCCTTAAACGGTTGATACAAAAAATGGCAGTCACTGTTTACACTGGTTATTCCCGTAATCGTAAGAGGCGATAAATGGGTTGGAAAAAACTGCAGTCTATGTATCTTTGAGCTCCAGAAGATGTGCGGTTCTGACTCCTGGTGCTGCCTTGAAGTTTGTATCACCTGAGGTTAGCCAAAAGCATATTAACTATTTCGGCTTCATGTGACTTATACTGTGTTGGTGCGCCTCCCTCTTGATAAAATATACCAAACTTATGTCATCAACATTGCCTTAAAAGCAACTGGCATATTGATTTTTTTCAAAATAACCATCACTTCATTGAGTTTGTTTGTTCGTTTTTTTTGTTGTTGTTTTTTTACATTACTTGAAAAATTGAAATAGATTTTCGAAATTTATGTTCCCTTTGATGTAAAAAGTGTTGACCTATAATTTTTGTGAAAAACATTCGCTAACTGCGTTATTTCAGAGTAATTTTTCTTATCATGAAAAATGACCATTTATTAATAAGCGTTGCAACGCTTTTCATGCATTGGGCTATTGATAGAACAAAAATGCAATGATCACTTTTAATTCTGAGTATATTTCTTAATAATCTTTTGCATATCTTTCTGTTTTGAAGTGTCCCACCAGTTCTATGTAAAATTACAATGTTATGTTTTAAATGCTTTTGGGCCGCAGTGGTGTTCCTTTAACCATTCAAGGATTCTGGAAATATTCGAACGTTTTTATTGTTTTTGACACAGCTTTATCCAATATCAATAATAACTAACAGTACCTCATTACGCTGACATTGCTTTTAAATAAACATATCAACATCCGTATTTTATTACCTTCACACAAATCTCCCGTCGTAGAATAGACACATTCGCATCTGAAGAAAGGACTTTTATGAGTATGGTGACATATTCCATGATGTTGACAAGGATTTGGTACGCATGCGTCATCAGAGTTTCCGGTTTGTGGAGCATTTGTTCCACTGACGTTTAATGGAAGTTTCTCTATGGGTGTATAATAATATCTTTTAGGAATGTTTTACATGACATACATATTAACAAATATTGCTGGTATGTATAATAAGCATATAGTATATGAACGTCAATATAAGTATTTTGGCCGTAGAAGTTTGTTTCATTTAGAAACACAACAAACACATTCTTACACTTAATTCAAGGCAAATAAACCAAATAATAATTGCAAACTTGAAAATACACCCTCATAGTTGTTCACGTATTGTCATGTTGCCGCCATTTTTAAACGGTGCAGTGTACAATGCTCATTTAGTGTCAAAAAATTATCTTTTCCTCATGTATAAATGTACAATCAACCGTACATCGTTGTTTTTTTATACAAATTGAATTATTTTCTCAAATATTTATTTTACCTTGACAGGTTAGGCCAATGTAGTTGCCAATGCATTCGCACCGGAAGTGGGGTCTAACCGTTGTTTGGTGACAAATACCGCCATTGAGACAAGGTCGTGGGTGGCATGCATCCACTTTTGGATATAAGAAATATTTTGAATGAACTGATTTTTTTCGAAAGACTAACGTCACGCTATAGCTTTAGCTGCTGATGGAAAGATGTATACAAACAAGCAAGAAAATCTCAACAACGGCAAACTTAAGGATAAGCTATACTGAAGTACACACATTAGTTTGCTTGTTTTTTCTAATCATCTGAAATGGACATGTCCAACTCCCAGTCTTGTGAGCCCCTTTATTTTCAAAGGAACATTTCAAAATGTCTTATGTCTGAGTGCCTAAATAGCGAGCATTGCAGATCATGCCAAGACGGGCACGGATGTGTGGGTTCGACTTAGGCACTGATATCATGGACGGAATAATTTGCCGCTGGCAATAAATTTTGTTTTTTATGTTCTTTATGGATTCTGTTTTCCTCTTTTCTGTAGAACATGCTAACCATACAAACATTATTAAATATTTCAGTTTCATCATAATATAACAATGTATACAAGTAGACATTGTATTCGTAATAGAATGTTACATACAAGCATTTTATGATATACTATCCTTATTGTAACATCATTATTAGTGTCTTAAAATTCTATTTTAGAATGGTAACTTACTGTGCATTTTTGACATGCAGACTGTGCATTTTATTAAACTACATATGTGGGGCGTCTGTGGTTAAGGTAGTTGTCTTTAAACCACTTGCCCCTCACCGCTGTTCATGAGAGGAAGCCATCCAGCTAGCTTACAGAACGTCGATGTCTGTTATAATGCACAGAAGAACAACTGAGGTCTTCTTCCACCAGTACAGCTGGAACGTCGCCATCTGACATATACTGTGTCGATATGACGTATAACCACATCAAACAAACATTAGGATACATGTGAAGATTAAAAGTAACAAGATATATTCGTTACCGGTTCCACAATGATTGCCCAGCCAACCTTTGTCACATTTACAATGCGTCTCACCAGTGATGTAAACTTGACACTGTCCATGGGGACCACATTTACGATTACAGTCAGCTGCGTATAGAAAAATAACCATACTATTCTCAGTGCTAGATAGTAAAACAACATTTTAGATACTGTAGAACATTTAAGTGCAAAAAGGCATGTTTGGATTTCAAAGTTATCCCATATAGTTTTTCTATGTCCATAATTTGGGCTCAACTGTAAAAAAGGGCGCTTAATCCTGTCAAAATCAACGTCAAATAAATAATAAAGAGATCAAAGTAAGGTTCTTTCCTTAGATATTATCAGTGAAAGAAAAACAAACATCTCTCATATTATGCCATTTTTAAGTATACCTTTTAGTTAACATTTTAAATATTGAACTGGCATTCAAGATCGTAATTAAAATCCGGTTTCTGACAAGAAACATATTAAATTATTCTGTGCTATAAATGTCTGTCTATTCCTTTCCGGATTTAAAGGAAATTCTATTGAGGTAAAAACACATAAAAACATCAAATTTGAAATTTTTACGTAGATCAGCTTGGGTGATAAATGTGCGTGAAAGATATTTAAGAAATAAACTCAGAAATATATTGAAAATTGTAAGTTTTTGCTATTTGAATACATGTAAATAAACAGCTTGTTAGAACAGTATCACAACGCTTTGCAATTTGGGTTATATTTAACAATTAGAATATATATTCTTGAAAAACGGAGTCAGATCCAAAATTTTGCACCAAGTTATTGGTTTATACCTTCTTCGAGTGGAACAGTTATCTCGAAAAAGCTCCGTATTGTCAACAAATCTCGCTAGAACCACATTAACGAGGAATGGCGTTTAGTTCCTGCTTTTATCTTATCACGGTGCACGGCCTTAACTTGGGTTTGATGAAACAAAAGTCAAAATCCCAACTGATCCCTAGGTCAACAACTGAAGTTGCAATATATATACGCGATGTTAGGCCCCTTGAAGCAAAGAACCCGCGGCATATTTACGGGTTATTTTAAAACATTATTTTTCTGTTATAAATAGATTCACTTTTTATCTACATTTTACTTTAAAAAAAACATTATTTTCCAGTCTTTCACATTTCTGTCAGCCTTAAAATAATCTCTGTTTCCCGTCCCTCGACCCATACCAGTTGGATATAGGATAGGTAGGTACTAGGTAAAATATTTTTCCTATCTAAAATAATATGGAATTCAAAACAAATAGTGAGTGTTTAGCATTTGTTTATAGTTAAGAAAAGTTTCAAAGTTTATTTATCAACTTAATATATATTATTGGCAATAAAATATTTTCGATCCTGGTGTACTATTGAACTGTGATTTGTTTTGGGATATATCGGGAGAGGAAACGAACAATATTTCATTTCAGGCCTTACGCAGTATGCATGTATAAAATTAAAAAGCTCACGTGCAATATTTCCATAAACCAATGATATCACCACGTGACATAACCACGTGACAAAGAGGAGGGCACCTGCAATATTAAAAGAAAAAGCTTTTCATTATTAGTTATGAGCTAACGTACAAAAAAAACAACATAACACATGCGTACGTATATCATGATATACCTATTTTTATCATCAAACCTCGGGTTCATTGAGAAAGAAAAAAAAGATCGAATAATCCTGATTTTTTACTCATGGTTTGATAAAACTTAATTAAATATTATACAATTAATGACTATATGGAATATGATTTACGCAAGAGCAGTTAATAGTCTTCGCTGTATGGTTTTGGAAAAAAAAACTGATTATATATTGTATTTTTTGTTTGGGAAAATTCATTTAGCCAGTGAATGTGATACTTCATCCAGTGAATATGATTAAGTCCGTCTGTTATCAGTTATGACTTCCTGTAAAATTAACAGGGAAGGACTGAATATGAGAAGAATTTTCATTGGTCACTGAAGTCGGTGAATCTCATTGGTCATTCTAAATTAAAAGGTAAAGGACAGTTCTTTCCATTCAAAATAAAATGTAAGAAACAGGTCTTACCATTTTAAAATAAAAGTTTAAGGATAGCTCTAAGATAAAATGTAAGGGATAGTTTTGCCACTACAAAATAAAATATAAAGGATAGTTCTTAAACAAAATGTACAGGAATGAGTATACATGTAGTTTTTTAACTTTAAGGTTAATTTGTAAATGAAACATTCCTTTTTTGAAAACTTAAAAATAACATAATTTTGCATGTTAATCAGTTTTACTTCGGCCGAGAATCTTTTTTTTAAAGATAGTTCTTGTTTCTGTTGACTACTGTTTGAACCAATGAGATTACAGTTATTTTCAGATCATATAAAAATATATTATATACATTGATCAAAGTATTCCGTTTTTACGTATATTATGACGTCATCTGATCATGAAAGCAGTAGGTTTAACTTTTCTTTTGTTGTTTTTGTTTGCTTGTTTGTGTCTTAATTAGTTTGTTGTTGTTGCTTAACGATGGCTTTCGAGCTTTATCAACAGAGGAAGACCTCCGCTACTCCTTCTTGCATTAATTTAGTAGAACCAATGACTTTGCGTAAGCTAGAGTGGCACCTTAACTCCTTCTATTTTATTAAGAATAACATACACAAATTCCTGGATTTATTTCTAGAGAGAAAACTAAAAATGGATAATAAATATCTTCTGCATAAATAAGCTAATCCGATGGACAATTTATTAAGAATAAAAATTCTACCGGTTGGAAATGGTTCTCAGCCGTTAAAATTGACAAAGATGAGCCGAAATTCTGAGATTCCCACCCCACCACCATCACAAAAAATACTACTTGAAAGTCTGAAAGAGTATGATAAAAATCTTACTTGGATTGCTCATCATCGCTTTATGCACATCCAAACATTGAGTTCAAATCTTATAACTGTTATCTGTCTCTTTCAAACGTAAATATAATGACCTCTTTGATAGTGCATCTATAGGCATGTATCTATGTTAAATCTTATCTTTTAGAGCTGCAAATAGAAAAAGCTTACTAAACAAAGTAAGTAAAGCCGGCCAAAACCAGATCGTGACAACTCGAGTGCTATAAAGTGCAATTAAGTCTATTATCTCTAAGCACAGATTCAAAATCATGAAATATTGCCATTTATGTGGACACCATGGACAGTGTCAATTTATTGATTAATCTTTTTTTAATTAATAAACTTATTTATTTATTACTTTATTACTGTTTTACTTTTTTTATTAATTACATTTCGTATTTTTAATTAATTAACTTACTATTTTTTATTTTATTACTTACTTATTTACTTCTAATTTAATAATCTATCTTTCAGCCTATCTGTCTCTCTGCCTGCCTCATATTATTTATTTATTTATTTATCTTAATAAAAGTGCCATGAAGATATGGAATAATATGTCCATAAGTATTTTCAGTGATTTAATAATAAAACATGTATAAAAAGCATTATGTTTAAACTCAACTAACACCCTTTTCAGAATGAAACTTGATTTCATATAAAAGTTGTAATTAAAAGATTGAATTTAATCTTTTTTTCGTCTTCTCCAATCCCTCTCAAGGTAAGCACGTCGCAGAGAGAAATTACCAGGTCAAGCGATCCAAAAATACCACGGAATGGTTGCTTGATCTGTCCTTAGTAATTCGTTATGATGTGATACTACGAAATATCACCTGGAGAAGCAATGCTTTGTAAATCGTATATATAAATCAGCGGACCGATGGAAGTGCCTTCACGGCAAAGACAATCTACATTACAAGATGCCCCCGAAGGAACCGGCAGGGAGCAAGTGTTCTTGCTTAATAATACAAAGTTATACACAATCGATTTGCAATGAAATTGGTCAAATGGTTTTTGAACGGTAGGCTCAAGAAAATGATGGGTTTTTTTCCCGAAAATTTATACACTTTATATACAGAAATAACTAACCGTCGGTCCAGAAAACGACCAAGCCACGCGGAAATCTCCCTGGCTTATTGCTTGGGTTAGGAATTTAGGCCTTAAAATGTGTAAAGAAGGCCCTCCAAAGTTGTACATGTACAAAATTTGCAACATAATTGGTCAAATTTTGTTTGAACGTGAGGCTCGAGAAAATGGGGTTCCTCGTCGCAATACCATCCAAGGTGATAGGCTCATGGAACAAAGTTAAGATCAAATACCCCAATATGATAGACGTTTTATATCTTCTTCTCGCAATTATAACCCACTTAACAGCCTCCGAAAATATAATTAAGCTCACATAACCCACGGTGACAAGCCTTTTTGGGGTACCTCATCGCAAGACAATCTACGATGATAGACTCACGAAAAGCTCAAACGACTATCGGTTATATGCCTTTGAGAGGGTTCTTATCAGAATTTCAACCAAAGTTGAAAGTCTCAGGAAATACAGGCAAGCTCACACAACCCCCGGTATTGAGCATTTTTTGGGGGTCGTAATCGCAATACAATCCACGGTGATAGACTCACGGAACACAGAAAAGCTCACAAGACCCACGGTGATAGGCCTTTTATGGGGTTCTTATCGCAATCTAAAGGGGATAAACAGTCAAGTTAACACAACCAACGGCGATATGCCTTTTCCGGGTCCTTATTGCAAAACAATCGGCGTTGATAGGCTTACGGAACACAATAAATCTTCACACGAGCCACATTGAATGGCCTTTTAAGGCTCCTGATCTCTATTTCAACACAAGTTGAAAGCCTTAGGAAATAGAGTCAGGCTCACATAAAGAACGGTGATACGGCTTTTTGGTGGTTCTCATCGCAATACAATCCACATTCATATGCTAACGGAACACACTAAATTAAAGCTCATACGACCAACGGTGTTACGAATTTTAGGGGGTTCTTATCGCAATTTCAACCCATGGTTTAGGCCTCAGGAAATACAGTTAAGCTCACACAACCCACAGTGATAGGGCTTTTTGGGGGTTCTCATCGCAATAAAATCTACGGTGTCGGTTTACGGGACACAGGAAAGCTCACGCGACCCACGGTTACACGCCTTTTAGGGGCCCTTATCGCAATTTCAACCAACATTGAAAGGCTCAGGAAATACAGTCATGCACAAATAACCCACGATGCTTTTTGGTGGTTCTCATCGCCATACACTTGACGGTGATATTCTCACGGAACACAGTAAAGCTCACACGACAAACGGTGACATGCTTTTGCTGGGGTTCTTATCGCAATTTCAACCCACTTTAAAAGCCTCAGGAAATACAGTCAAACTCACACGACCCACGGTGATATGCCTTTTGTGGTACTCAGGAAATACAGTCAAGCTCACTCAACCCATGGTGATAAGCCTTTTTCGGGATCTTCATTGCAATAAAATCCCAGGTGATAGGATCACGGAACAATGTGAGAGTTACAAGACCCACGGTGACAGGCCTTGTACATGGTTCTTATCGCAAATTTAATCCATGCTGAAAGCCTCAGAAAATAAAATCAAGATCGCAAAACCCACGGTGGTTTGCCTTTTTGGGGGTCCTCATCGCAATGCAATCCACTTTGATAGGCTTATAGAACGCGGCAAAGCTCACATAAATTACGGTGATAGACTTTTAAGGGGTTCTTATATATTATAACCCCTTTGCAAGCCTCAGGAAAGACAATCAAGGGTGATAGCCTCACGGAACACAGTAAAGCCCATGCGACCAACAATAATAAACCTTTAAGTGGGTTCGTATCGCTATTTAAACCCACGTTGAAAGCGTCAAGAAATAAAATTAAAAAAAACAACTCACGTTGATTGACTCATCGCAATACAGGCCATTGTGCTAGGCTCATGAACAAAGTGAGGGTCACACGACCCACGGTGTTAGGCATTCTAAGGTGTTTTTATCGCAATTTAAACCTACAAATACGTTAAAAGCCTTAATTATGATATACAGTCAAGCAAACGACAATTGAAAGCCACGTTGAAGGCCTCCAAAAATACAGTGAAGAACATAACCCACGTTAATTGTCCTTTTTAGGGGTCCTCATCGCAATACAAATTTAACGGACTATTGTTGCTTTTTGCAGAAGTTTGTACATTGTTGTTCTGTTTTACTTAAAAAATCAATAAATTTAAAATATTTTGCACAAAATCTTTGATGTTTATGTGTTTGAATAAAATATGTCAATTCTGACCAATTTTAAAACTGGTCACATGAAAATATGTCATTACAGTGACGCGGAATTAGTGATGTTGAGAATACTTATTACAAGTATTTATTGTTTCTTTACTTCATGTATTAGACCTATGATATAATTATTATATTATTATAATTAAATAGATCATTTAATACTAGATAAAATGAAGTATTTTATTACTTTTTAGCATTTAGTCCTTTACAATATGTCACTATATTTTCTCGTAACAAGTAAAATAATAGTGGAGGATACTAATCGACGGTCTCCGGTCTCCGGTCTTCGACGGTCCCCGGTCTCCAAAGACCGTCGAAGGCCGTCAATTGTACGAGACCGTCGATTAGTCAGTTATAACACAAATCGACGGTCTCCAGATTATATACGAAATTAGACAGAATGACCAATAGGCAATAACACTTTTCAGTGATTTATGTCAATAGTTTAGAGTGATTAACGGATATTTTTGATGAAAAAAATAGAGTAATAATAAAAAAAATTGAAATTTTCAATGGTTATTAATATATTTATAGAATTTAGATGTTGTGTTTGTTCAGTTGTAATTCAACAATGATCAGTTAATTGTCTTAATGAAATAAATACATTTTTGACTTAAGATATGTAAAAATATTCACAACAAAAGACCGTCGACGGTAGAACCGTCGATTATTAGGTTATTATACGAGATTTATTACATAATTGGAATTGCGAAATAGGTAAAATGTGGTCAATAAGCATTTTTTTCTAAAAATAAAATAATCGTTAACATAAAAATGTTTTTTGTTTTTCTCCGTGGAAATATAATTTGTTGAGAGCGTTCAGTTATTACATTTCGTCAATTATGAAATCAATTTATGGAATAATGAAAAAAGAGAGAATATTTTATAATAAATTTGGCAACTTTGCACCAGAAAAGTTAGACAAGTTACAAAAAAAAATATTTCAGAAATTTATGAGAATCGATTTCTTAATAGCACAATTTTGGTTTTAAAAATCTGTCTGGAATAAAATTTTAAAACTAAAATAGCTGTTAATAAAATGGCCTACTTTTTAATGAATGCAAAAAAACGAGTTTAAAATAATAAAACCTGTTAAATTAACAAATAAAAAAGGCAAAAATAATGGTTTTGGTAATATACAAAATGCAAATATAAACAACAACAAAAATGCACTTAAATGCAATGTAAAATAAAACCAGCTAATGTGAAGAAAATAAACATTACGCCGCCTGTCAATCAAGCTGGCAGGGGTCACAGAGATAATTAAGCTAATCAGCGATCGTTATCAGTTTCACGCCAAGATGCCTGCGAAGTCCACCATTTTCCTTTCTAAGACAATGGTGCATGAATTGAAAGTATTTTAATTTGCTGTCAATCTAAAGCTATAAATCGGTATATTTTTTCAGGTATCAAATATAATGATAGATCGAGTAAGTTAGTTTATAAACAAAAGTCAATAATTATCTACAAATGGAAATAATAAGTTCTGTTGCAGGTAACATTTATCCTGGCTATAACACAATGCTTTGAAAAGGGAAAAAGGTTAAAACAAATCCACTTATTTTCATTACCGGTCTATCTGTTCATAATCACATTAAATATTATAAGGTCCCAGAATATCGAGAACATATGACATTTTTTCGTTTATAATTTTTAGCGTCAATAAAAACGCAGCCGTAAAAAATGTAAATTTAATGAGTAAATAAATGGGTGAAACTATCATACCTGAATATTTCTATAAAAGTTCAAATAAAAATTAAGAATAAATATTCAAATAGATCTGCTTACTACGAAACTAA